GTTGTTGTTGTTGTTGTTGTTGTTGTTGTTGTTGTTGTTGTTGTTGTTTTTGAACCTATTAAAAAGCAGTCTTACAGTTCTGGTCTTTTATCTTTGGCTCTGCATTTGTATCTTTTAAATACCAATATCAATTTATTATTCTTGGACCATTTCCCTGACGTATGAAGTCTATTTTTTATATTATCACCTTATACAGTAATTTAATATTGAATAATCAGAAACTAGGATTAAATCCTCTGACATTTTTCTTCACACCTGCATTTAATTTATTTATTTTTTTACTTAAATTATTTATATTGCTATCCATCTCACAATAGTGACTCACTGATGAGGAAACACTAACTCCATTTTTCAAGCTATTTATGTGTCTACATAATTGTCATCTCAAGTAAGCCACAATTAACTTGCTGATGAGAATGTCAAATGCCTTGTCAAATCACTATATACTATGTCTACAAAATTCCCACAATGTACTAAAAAGAATGCCTAATGAAAAATGTGATAAATTTAGTGCATCAGCTTCTTAAAAATAAAGTGGCAAGCAATTTCATGTATCAAAATTATAAATTTGTTTACAAAAATCAGAAAGCATTATCAGCTTTTTCCAGTATGTCCTATGCACAGATTAAAATCACTTTTTTAAAAATAAAAATGTATTTATTCAAAGCTGTGAATACACTATGATATTATTTTGGAGATTTCAAATTTACCATTCTGTATACATGAATAAAATGAAAAAAAATGGGGTTTTATTTTGTTTTGTGTTTGTTTCTTTCAGAAACTAAATTATTATGATTTTTTCTGAACAATTTATTGAAACAAGATACAAATGTATATCTTGTCTTTGATGAAGAAAAATGCCTTATTTCAATTACTTTTTTCCTATATTTTCCCCCACTCAGAACATTAGCTGCTATTAGGTAGCACTTTCTTTGTACAACAAAATGAGGTTTGATCAAAGATCTTTCCATTTGCTGAAACATTATTTCATAAACATAGAGATTGAGCCAGCTCTCATTTTTTTTTTTACCAAGGAAATCATCCATAGTGCATCCTGGAATTACTGCTTCACAGAACGTTTATAAACTGCAGTCTGGCAAGCTTTGTCTTTTTTAATAAAACAATTAGAATGTCACTCTATTACTCTAATATCTGGTATATTAGAATAACCCATAACATTACAACCAAAGAAGCTATGTTATCAGCTCTGGGTTTCTATGGACTGTATATTGGTAAATGATGAATTTTATGATTATGGGTTTCACATAACATTTCTTGGGTAACATTCATGATCATAGGTTACACTTCTTGTCTGGGAATGTTAAGCTAATGCCAACTGTAAAGCTATTACATATTTAATATTCCAGACTATATGATTTTGGGGGGATTTTATCACTGAAAAAAGGCAGAACCTGGGTTGTGAAGGTATTCCAACAAGAGTTTGTTACAGTTTCTTTTCCATTCATATTATTACCATTCCCTACATCAACTCTTCTTCTAAGTTTTCTGAGCCTGTCAATGCATGTGAATTTCCCATGTTGCTTTTTGAAGCCTAATGAATAGAATACTACATGAAAGTTTGAAAAAGAAATTTAAATCGATCCACACATACTTGATGTGTATATGTTTGTATGCACTCCATATGTATACAGGTGAAACTCGAAAAATTAGAATATCGTGCAAAAGTTCATCTATTTCAGTAATGCAACTTAAAAGGTGAAATGAATACTGTATATGAGATGGACGCATTACATGCAAAGCAAGATAGTTCAAGCCGTGATTTGTCATAATTGTGATGATTATGGCTTACAGTTCATGAAAACCCCAAATCCACAATCTCAGAAAATTAGAATATTACATGCATTCAATAAAACAAGGATTGTACATAGAACAATATCGGACCTCTAAAAAGTATAAGCATGCATACTTGGTTTGGGCCCCTTTTGCAGCAATTACTGCCTCAATACAGCGTGGCATGGAAGCTATCAGCCTGTCACACTGCTGAGGTGTTATGGAAGATCAGGATGCTTCAATAGTGGCCTTCAGCTCTTCTGCATTGTTTGGTCTCATGTCTCTCATCTTTCTCTTGGCAATGCCCCATAGATTCTCTTTGGGGTGCAGGTCAGGCAAGTTTGCTGGCCAATCAAGCACAGTAATCCCACGGTCATTGAACCAGGTTTGGTGCTTTTGGCAGTGTGGGCAGGTGCCAAGTCCTTCTGGAAAATGAAGTCAGCATCCCCATAAAGCTTGTCTGTGGAAGGAAGCATGAAGTGCTCCAAAATCTCCTGGTAGATGGCTGCGTTGACCCTGGACTTAATGAAGCACAGTGGACCAACATCAGCAGATGACATGACTCCCCAAATCAACACAGACTGTGGAAACTTCACACTGGACTTCAAGCATGCAGTGTGTGCCTCTCCATTCTTCCTCCAAACTCTGGGTCCTTGGTTTCCAAATGAGATGCAAAAGTTGCTCTCATCAGAAAAGAGGACTTTGGACCAATGAGCAACAGACCAGTTCTGTTTTTCTTTAGCCCAGGTAAGACACTTCTGATGTTGTTTGTTGTTCAGGAGAGGCTTGGCAAGAGGAATATGACATTAGAAGCCCATGTCTAGGATCCATCTGTGTGTGGTGGCTCTTGATGCACTGACTCCAGCTCAGTCCACTCCTTGTGAAAGTCCCCAACACTTTTGAATGGCCTTTTCCTGACAATCCTCTCCAGGCTGCGGTCACCCCTACTGCTTGCGCACCTTTTTCTTCCACACTTTTCCCTTCCACATAACTTTCTATTAATGTGCTTTGATACAGCACTTTGGAAACATCCAACTTCTTTTGCAATTACCTTTTGAAGTTTTCCCTCCTTATGGAGGGTGTCAGTGATGGTTTTCTGCACAACTGTCAGGTCAGCAGTCTTTCCCATGATTGTGATTCGTATTGAACCAGACTGAGAGACCATTTAAAGGCTCAGGAACCCTTTGCAGGTGTTATGGCTTAATTAGCTGATTAGTGTGGGACACTTTGAGCCTAGAATATTGACTCTTTTCACAATATTCTAATTTTCTGAGATTGTGGATTTGGGGTTTTCATGATCTGTAAGCCATAATCATCTCAATTATGACACATCATGACTTGAACTATCTTGCTTTGCATGTAATCCGTCTATCTCATATACAGTATTAGTTTCACCTTTTAAGTTGCATTACTGAAATAAATGAACTTTTGCATGATATTCTAATTTTTTTAGTTTCACCTGTATATCTATGTTTATAATGGGAGAATTATATGGAAACGCCTATACTACCAAGTGCTTTTATTCTTTTATTTATAGCACAGTTTTTGGCCTCAGTTTAAATGCTGCATATGTATCCTGATATTTCATATGGACATGAGAGAGATAACCCCCATATCTTTGTTAGAGATGGCATCATAATGACAATAATAACAATACCTGTCCGGACTCTCTTTCATCAGTAAAAATAATACATAAGTAGAAGCAAAATCCTTCCAATTGTTTTTGTTCCAATTACATTAGTGTAGCCTTTTATAAATTACATAAGCCATAGGATACTAATGGACTCTTCATTATTGTTCATTTGTTGTTTTTCTCAGGAAGCAGTTGTCTTGGCAGAGTGCTAAATTATATGCTGCCTTTGTCCTGCCCTCTACTTCATTAAGTTAAAAAAAAACCTGAAGGTCTTCCCTATTTTATAAATATTCCACTTTTTAATTTTCAGGCTCTACCTGAAGGCCAGACAGCATCTTGGGACACCGCCAAAGAAGATGAAAACCGCAATAAGAATAGATATGGCAACATCATCTCCTGTAGGTGCAAATTCAAACTGAACTGAACTTCCTGTGTGTATCTGTAAGCATCTTATATGTATAAGAGCATAACTGTAACAAAGAATAACTTCCTAGTCTTTGGAACATTTCAGCTTAATAAGAGCTTCTGTGTTAGTGTTCCCCTCTTCCCCCAATTTTTTCATTGATTTAGTGTTGTTTGTATAGATACATTAGTTTCAGTGGATTCAAGTGACAAAAAAAATCTGCTTTTGAGGGGTGAGGGGCTGGCATTCTCATACATTGAAGACATCTGGGAAAAGAGGTAGGGGAGCATCAATTTCATGATATCAAGGTCTTTTCCCAGCTGAGCATATGGCTTTGTGTTGGTCAGGAATCTATTTTCTTCAGGGCAAAATGCAGGCAGAGCTGTTGATCAATTTTGCTATTGGGGATGTTGGTGTCACCTTCAGGTAAGCAAATTCCACAGATGGGCTCTTATCACCAAGAAAACCCGAGATAAATTAACTAGTCCATATACAAAGAAGGAATCATAAACAGGACTTCTCTATCAATCTCAGTCCATAAACTAGCTAGTATATAACAGCTCACCAAAATTATGCCTGCATTTGAAAAAAACAGGGCTACCACATTTGAGAGACTTCTACATATTTGTTCACATTGTTTTGGATTGCACAGTGAAACCAATATTTGTATTACAATATTACCAGTAGTATGGCAGCTAGATTTTCACGATTGCTCTGTGTTGTTAAGTTGTGACTTAGGACAATTGCTTAATCTTATTTTGTCACTTTAGAAAATAAATTTAAAAATTATCATTCATGCACTTATTCTAAAATGTCATAAATCCTATGATATCTCTAGAAAGCATTGTTCCACCCACATGTGTCAAAAAAAGGTTTCAGAATTTAGTCAGAATAGAACATGTATAAGACTGCACTGTAATTATATTATGTTCACTAATTTTGTAAGGTATAATGTAAGATATAATAATATAATGTTAAATAACAGCATAATACATATAATTCAACAAAATGCAGAATTACTTTAATTCAAAGTGGAAAAGCTTTGGAGAGGATTTGGACACACTTGCTATACCTGTTGATGGTGTAGCAAGGGGGCTGGAGGATAAAACATATTAAGAATGGTTGCTAGAATTGGGTATGTCAGCTTAATGAAAAGAAAGACTGAGGGAGACATATTTCAATATCTCAGAGGTTGCCACAGAGAAGAGGGAGTCAGGCTATTCTCCAAGACACCCGAGACCAAGAAGCAATGGATGGAAGCTAATCAAGGAAAGAAGAAATCTAGAACTAAGGAGACATTTTCTGACAGTTAGAACAATTAATCAGTGGAATAACTTGGTCTCAGAAGTTGTGGGTGTTCCAACATTGGGGTTTTTAAGAAAAGAGTGGACACCTATTGAAATGGTGTAGGGTGTCCTGCCCAAGCAGCCGGTTGGACTAAAAAACCTTCAAGGTCCCTTCCAACTCTTTTATTCTGTTATTGATGCTTCCCTAAAGAGCCACACTTTTTTTTACTGGTGTTTCATGTAATGTTAGTGCTCCTTAATTCAGTATGTATTCTTCTGGAACTATGTGGCTCCTAGGTGAACTAATAAATTGCATTCTCTAAGGAAGTGCAAATAATCACATTCAAAAACACCTTTTCCACTTCAGTTCAAAATAGCTGCACAAATGATAATGCTTTAAAAATGCTTTAAAGGCTCATGTAATGTGTTTTAAGGATACAAATGCAACCTAGCTGTCTGACTTAAACCACAACACAGCTTCTAGTACATATAAATTAAAATAAATTGAATCCAGGATATATAAGCAAGTTTTTATAACAGCACAAAGGAGGAATGATAATTTATTTATTGAGTGTATTAATGGGGCATAGAACATTGAGCGCAAGGTAGGTAGCTAGAAAGTGCCAAGAAAGCAATATCAAACTGATTAAAAGGATATTAACCTTTAGAAGAATGTTCACAAAGTTGAACCATTGTTCAGTAAAGGAAGAAACTTAACCACTGCTAAAATGAATGACAGACATGTGAGCTTATGAATGTAAAGGTATGGAAAATAGATAACAAGATAATTACCTTTTCTCCTGGAATAATTGCTGATTTCAATTAAGAAAGCAATTAATGGCATTTCTTAGAAATAGTAGGAATATTTAAAAAAAAACAAAATTGTGTCATAAGTGACATAAAGCTTTGTTGGAAACAATCTTCCATCCAAAGACAGATTAGTACTAAAGCTGTTATGAAAGAAGGCCATTAACTGTCTGAGAATTCTTTTGGAGGACTGGAAGTATAATGGCTACCCACCTTGTAAGAGGTAATTGAGAATGATTTTCATCTGTGTGACAATGATTGGGGGTGGGGGAATTATCATTATGCTTGGTGGCAGTCAGCCACATGGTTAGACTTGATCTGGCATTTTTGTCCACCTACCAAGTCCTTCCCAAGGACCTGGAGTACGCATGTATTGTTGTTAAATGGTATTAAATGTATGGATGCAGGAAGTAAGCTGCAACTAGTAAAGCTGCATTTTACAATTGACTTGTAGTGATTTTGTCAATGCTGGTGGTGTTCAAATGGTGCTTCAAATATTTTGGAATTGCAGGTTTTTGTATCTTGTGATTTTCTCTGGGTTTTGCCTTTCTATTCTGCTGTCTCCAGGTACTATCACGTCCTTACCTTTTTGTTTTTCTTATCAACAATTGCTAAGTCTTTATGTGGCAGGTGCTTGTCTGTTTGAATTCTCAAGTCCCAGAGTACTTTAGCATCTTCATTTTCTATTACTTTGTCTATTTCACTATTATTATTTACTCCACTCCAATAGAGTCTGGGTACAAATTCCAAACGAGCATTAAAAAAACATGACTGCTATTTTGGATGAAGTAAAGAGAAAAAAAGAACGAAAGAATTATCCAGATAAGACAAGTGCTCTTTAACAAATTAAACATTTTCAGTGGCAATTATGTATGTTAACAGTAAGAGAAATGGAAATAAAAATGAATTATGTAAAGCAAAAAAAGTTGAGCTTTCAAGTAAATCTGAAAAGAGGGTAGCGTATCAATTACAAAAAAGAAAATGAAAATGAAATCATATTGAAATTACAATAGGGAGATATGGTGTTAATGGCAATGTGGCCATGCAAAAAGTATCTCATCAATATTATTATGATTTGTATAAAAGAAATGACATCTCTCCAGAGAAAATAGATGAATATCTAAAGAAACAAAACTTACTGAGGATAGATTATGAATAATACAAGACATTTCTGAATCTATAAAAAGATTAAATTAGGAAGGATTCTTGAACCAGAACCAGATGGATTATCAGGTTCTAATTATAAATGTTCTTGGAATTAATTTTTTCAACCATTGCAATACACAATGAACTCTATCCTGCAAACGGAAAGCTACCAGAACACTGGAAAGAGGTCAATACCAACTAATATCTAAAAAGGGACAAGATCTGACTTTTGCAGGAGACTATAGGCTGATTTCATTATTTACTTGTTGCATTGTAAATAACTACAAATTGTTTAAAATGTTTCTGGCTAATAGACAGACAATAATTTTGTGGATTTTTATGTGGAGTAACATAATAAAAAAATTAAACTGCACTGATCTTCTTAGATGCAGAAAAGGCCTTTGACAATTTGAATTGGGCTTTTTTGTTTAAATTTTTAGAAGTTATGGATTTTGGAGTGAACTTAATAAAATGGATAAGATCAATTTGCATTTTAAAGGCAGTATAAGTAATTGTTAATGGCTGTGAGATACAAGAACAAGGCAGGGATGACCACTGCCCCTTCTCTAATTTATTTTACTTCTGGAAATATTGAATAGAGATGTAAGACAAGATGAGAGAAATGAAGAAATAAAGATTTAAAAAATAAACTTAGAAATTAAGGGCTTTTGCAAATGCCTTGGTTTTGATTCTGGAAGATGCTTTAAAGGGATTTGAAATATTAATGGACAAATTAAAGAATGTGGAGCAATAGTTTTTAACATTAATAAACAATAAAAATTGAAGAGAAGTGATAAATAAAACATGTTTTAGACTGAGAAAATGGTAAAATATTGTGTATCATTATGATAAATATGAACCACATGTTAATTTCAAAATAATTATGTTAAGGTATGGAATTAAGATAAAAAATGATATATGAACACATGGCAAAATACAACTATCATTGTTGGGGGAAATTTCTGTGATAAAAATGAATGTTTATCTAGAATGTTTTTGTTTCAGAGAATACTTTTACTGAAATTGATGCACCAGTAATAGAATGATATATGAGTTAATATAAGGTGCTGCAAGATGCAAAGGGAAGAGGGGGCCTGGATTTGATTAACTTGAAATTGTATTTTACACTTTGCTTTTTGATTTGGATGAAAGAATGGATGTCGTTGAGAAATAGAAGGCTTTGGGGCATAGAAGGACAAAGTGGCATGAATATTTGTGGTACAATAAAGTGAAGGTCAAGATGAATTTTAAAAACCTTATGTTATGCAGTTATGCCATATTGAGAATATGGAATAGAAAAACCCAGATTATGCCTGAAAAACACTTCTGCAGCTCTCAGAACAAGAATCATATTACAGATGAAAAATAATAAGCAAATACAAATTACTAACCTACTGTCAGATGCGAGAATATTGTCAAGAAAAATGTAAACAAAATCAAAACAAGAACTGGGAGGGGCAGGAGAATATAATTGTACATGTTTTTTTTACAATTATTAGAAAGATTTAAAGTAGATAAAATAATTCAAGGTTTTGGACATTTTAAGACTGAGTATAAAATGGAACTGTATACAAATGATGAACATATGTAACTGCTAAAATGTACAAACTTTTATTGAAATTGGAAACTGAAGAACAAGTGAAACATTGCATGATAAAGTGAGCTTAATATTTTGGTTATAATATATAGATGTATCAAGGGGAAATATGTGGTTGAAAGGATTGAAATTTACACTATAATATCAAAGATAATTTTTGTAAAATGCTGTACGATTGGTATTTGTCACCAGAGAAATTATTTAGAATGTATAAAAAACACCTCAAACTTATGCTGGAATTATGAACAACAAGAAGGGACTATTTATCGTCTGTGCTGGACATGTAATAAAGCTAGAAAATTCTAAATTCAAGAATGCTGTAATTCAGAGGATCTTAAGGATGAGTATACAAATGAAATCAATGATTTTTCTTTTGGGACTGGTGGACAAACAGTTGGTGGAAAAAGTCATGGAACTTTGTTTTTGTACATGACAACTGGAGTAAGATTCTGGCATGGAGAAAGATGGAAAGATTCAGCATTACCTGAATTATGCATTATGAAGAAATGGCTGGTGAAAATGATGAAACTTGACTTCTTTGATCAGAGAAAGACTGTAACTACATGTATTGCTAACTGGAAATCCCTTACAGGTGTTTTGCAGGAAAGAGAAAAAAGCTGAGCTTATGATTTATGGTTTTAATAATTAAACTTAATAAATTGTAGAAAGAAGAGAGGTATTTTGTACCCATCAAGTAAGTTGTAATTGTAGCAATAACTGCTGTACAGAAATTGGAAGCTTTACATATTTTTTTTTCTTTCTTTCCTTTTTTTATTTCTCTTTGATTTCTCTTTCTTTTCCTTTGTCTTACTTCATATTAGCTTGGGTTAGTTTTTAAAAATCTTTAACAAATATATATATTAAAAATTTTAAACCTGAAACAGAGAGCTCAAGCTAAAACAGCCACAGTTATATCATATACCATAAGAGTAAGTGTAAAAATAAGCAGTAAGGGCCTCATAACCACATTCACTCCAGTCCCTGGAACAGAGCTAGGTTTGTAAGCCTTCCAGAATTGTTTCAGAGTGTGGATGCTTCTCATGCTTTTCCAGAAATGGGATGGGCATAGACAGAATATTTCTTTGGCCCTGCAAGATGACAAGGTTTAAGAGAGAGAGCCAGGAGTTTGAATATATTAGGTCAGCAGGAATAATCGGTGATAGGCAACACAGTTAAGAGTTTTATAAGTAACAACCAGCATCTTGAATTGTACCCAGAAAGTGTCTGGCAGCCAATGCAGGTTGCATAACAGTGTTGATACATGAGATAATGAAAAGTACCTCTTACTGTTAACACTTTGACATTTATATTGTAATTTTTATTTTATTGCAAATGCTGATAAATTTTTGGGGGGGGTATTGAACATTAAATTCAGAACATAAATATAATAGGAAGCATGGGGCTATACTCACTGCAATACTGAATCAAAAGTGAATCAAAAGTTCAAATCTGATAACCCAGAATACCTTTGATTTTTTTTTTTGGGGGGGGGGTACTGGAATTTTTTTGCTATGCTATGCTTTGATTTATTATTATGTTATTCATTCACTTATTTAAATTAATTATGGATGCCATTCCCATGTAATCTGGGCAACTATATTGTGTGCATTTTATTTTGTAGGCAGATCGAAAATCAGTCCACTAGTTTTTGACCTGTTCCAAAAAATTAAGATTGAAATTATAACTATGTAATAATTTAACATTTTTACTAATTCATAGCAATTCCTGGCATGAGTGTATCTGATATGTTGCAAACCGATCAGAATCCAGAGATATATATATAACATATTATGTGCAAGGTGACTTGTAGGCACAAAAAAAAAAAAAAAAAAAAAAAAACAGGTGGCCATCACTTGGTAGACACAAAGTAGCTGCCCTAATTTCTTCTAACTATGAAGTAGTTGATATTTGGAGGTTATTTTGTCAATTTATATCACTTTATAAATGGATGCTTGTTTTTGCATGATCTATTTGGTTGTAATAATGTTAACTATGGCATTTTCTATAAATACAGTACACTATGCTCAAAGCAGTTTACAGAAAAATTCTATAATCTCAATAAAACCACACATTTAGTTCACACAGAGTAATCTATTCTCAGAGTAATCAGTTGTAATTTCTCCAAAATTATGACCCAGAATTAATTTACAAAAGCTAATATTATTAATAGTATGAAAAATATATAGGTAGTTCTTGACTTAAAACCTTACATGGGACCGGAATTTTGATTGTAAGTCATTGATGCCATAAATCAGAGCATCATATGACTGGACTCAATTTTACAATGGCAGTAGTTAAGCAAACTCCATGGTTGTATGTGCAAACCCATTTTGCCCAATGGACATTTTTGCCATTTTTTGCCAAAACATGTCATCACATGTGATCATGTGACCGTGGATACTTCAACTGATCATAAATGCAAACCAGTTGCAAAGTGCTTAAAATGTGATCATGTGACCTCAGGGGTGGTGCAGCAATCATAACTTCAAGGTCCAGTTATAGATAAAAGTTCATTGTAATTTCAAATGGCTAAAAGCAATCAGTTATAAGTCACGGACTATCTGTATCAATATACAAAATGTACATAAACGTGGATCCTCCTGCTATATACAGTATATCAATGTTGCCTATGTCAAGGCTTGCACTTTTGGTGTGATAATGACAAACAGCTGGGCCTTATTTTCAGCAGTCTCTCTCATGTTGAATAACCACTGCTCTGAATTATGCAAGACTGCAACATAGTATGGGGCTTAAAAGTTTGTCAACCCTTTTGTATTTCAATATTTCTGCTTACATACAGTATGACCTAAAATATTATCTGTTCTCTACACAAGTCCTACACAGAGAACCCAATTAAACAATTAAAAAGCATTGCACTTGTTCATTTATTTATTGAGGAAAATGTTCCAACACTACCAACACAGATCACGTTTTAGGTCATATTTATGCAGAAATATTGAAAATTAATTTTACCAGCTAGTAAAAATTCCATTTCTTATGATTTAAATTAATTTACTATCAATGTTTTGAAACAATTCTGAACAATTCAGAATTCTGATGCATTTTCAAACAATCCTTCAGATGTTTGAAGATAACTACCATAGTTTTATCTTCTCCAAGTTAAACATACTGTAATTAATACAGCATCTCCAACTGTTATCCTTGTTGGCTTCCTATCATCTTGCTTACACTTTTATGATCATGCTATAGTTTCTCAGTGTTCTTTCTAACACAATGCCCAGAACCAGATACAATATTCTGAGTGTTGTCTGCAGAATAGAGACAATCTTGACACTATAATTCTGTTAATACAGCTAAGATTGTATTTGCTCTTCTGTAGCTGCATCACTCGGAGAATTTGTGCTCAGCTCAAACACAATTTCTAGATCCTTTACACATTCACTACTTCCCAGTCTCCTCCCATCCTCCTATACTAATGTCTTAACTCTTTCCTACCAAATGTTTGTAGGCATTTTTCCCTATTAAACTTAATGCTATTGGTTTCTGCCCATTTTTCCAGCTTGTCAACATATTTCTGAATCTTGCTGTCTCCTCAAATGATAGCAATAGCATTTGGACTTATATCCTACTCTACAATGCTTTACAACACTGTCTGAATGGTTTACAATGTCAGCATATTGCCCCTGTAATGAGGGTCCTCATTTTACCAACCATATTTTATTCTAACCACTGCAACTTCATGGCTTCTGATAACTAGTATTTTACAGGCTTGCTTTATAAACAAAATATTATTTTATTCTCACTTTTGTGACCAAAGCAAATTCATATAGAAACCAAAATCTCATAACTCTTACTTAAAATCTTAATAAGAAAACTGAATATTAAGAAGGATAACTATTGCAAGACATTATGGTATAAAATTGATGACAAAAAAAAGTTTTTTGCTGCCATCATTGCAATAGATATGTCTTAAAATTGGCATTGTAAAATCCTTTCCATATTCAGTTGAAATTGACTCATGTTCTGTCTATCTAAGTGTTGTATTGTCAGCAAATGTACATTAAAACAAAAAGGCTGAGCTTTGTGCAAGAGCAGATGGCACTTAAAACTAATAGCATAAATTGGCTGGATCTCCTCTGATCCGTCTATTCTCCTGGTTCCTTGTCTTTAAACAAAGACTAAAGGCCAGACTAAAACCTGTGTGTTGTTTCATGGCTGATTCCCTCTGTCAGTGAATTTTAATATAAACAGATACTAAGGTATCATCTAATACAAATGATCCATTCTATTTATACTGTATGCATATCTACTGTGTGTCTATCTTGGTAATTAACAACAGAAATATAAAATCAAAGTCAAATATCCAAATATCACTGAAAATCTATGCATCTCTCATCATCTTACTTTTTTAAAATGACAATGTTCAGGCACCTGTGTGATTTGTGTGGTTTATATTATCTTATGCAATGATTCAAAATATGGTTCAACATATACCATAGTATAAAACCTGTACCAGATTCAGATTATTTTAAGTTCAAGCAGGGCTTTAACAAATCAGTATTTACAGCAAAGTACACAATAAACATATTGATGGATAGTTTAACCATGGTATTTGGAACCAATGTTATATACATTTAAATGGAAAAATAAACATGAAAACATCTTCCTAGTTTTCTCCATTTGTATATTGCACATGTTTGCATTCTTATTTGTTTTGGTTTAATGTTCCTTTATTTAATATTTAACACTTTCTTCTGATTATTTTCAGATGATCACTCCAGGGTGAGACTGCAGTTACTAGATGGAGATCCTCATTCAGATTACATTAATGCAAATTATATTGACGTAAGTGTTGTAAGAAAATATTTTTGCACAGAGAGGTGTCTATTTGAAGAATCACTAAGCAAATTGTCTTTGGGTGTGAGTCTTACTTAGTGGGATGCATTAGGTTTAAATAACTATATTGTGGTAGGAGATAGTAGCAGTATACTAGTCAATACAATTTATGAACAAATGCTCCACTAAATTTCTCTAGAAGTAATTAGAGCATCCAATCATACTTGGCCAATAAAGTATTATATTCTGTTCTATTCTTATTCTGTTCTATTCTATTCTAAATTAAAATAAATTATAAATCACATACCGTAAGATAAAGTTCAGGGTGTGAAGAATCAGACACATTTCTTCAAATATAATTTTGTAAAACAAACAAACAAAAACCAACAACAAATAGAAGAATTTACAATGTTTGGATCAAAATTTTCATCCCAAAGCCAATACAAATTAATGACTCACTAATCAATCAACTAATCGAATAGGAATGGCTCATGCTATGCTTGCAATTTTCTGTTTCTGACTATCTTTGTTTGAATGAGAATTGGATTGAATGGGATTGAATTTATGTTTTATATTGTTTTATGAGCATAGGAAAGTGCCTCACTCTGTGTCAGATTATTTGCTCATCTTTCCAAAGTATTTTTCATTCCTTGTTTAATACTCTCTATTCTAACCAGCAATCACCCTCCACAATCTTAAAATTTTAGTTAGTTTAACATTGAAGAACATTGTGAGATCAGTGGAATTTACTGCTAGGTAAACATACAAAGGAATGAAATGCCTTCAAAAGCCAATGTCTAAATAGCCTTCCTTGAATTTTGGAAAAATGATATATTGTAGTTGCAATTTTTCTTCTTCCCATCCTCCCAACTGCCCCATGTTAAAATTAGAAGTGTAACCATATTGATCAATGTGATGATTGTTGAAAAAAGATCAGAAACTTGAAGTGCAAAGAATTTATTGTAAATCTATATATAAAGTATCCTGGAGAGATTTTGTGAAATTAAAAAACAGAGAGAAGGATAAAGTTAACAAATTAAATATACTCATCTGACTAATAAAAAAAACTGAATTTTGAAGCAAATGAAGTCTGTAACTTCTAGCAAAGTACTACACATCCTTTTTTTTTCATGTAAGTCTCTATAATTGTCATTTAAATCACAGTGTTTTTAAAAGATCCCCCAATTAAGAAAAGGGAAAACATGTAAAAATGTATATCCTACATGATTTCCTTAAAAAAAAAAATTCACACACAAGCTAATGATTTCTTCTGCTTCGACAAGAAACAGATGTGTGTGCCACAGATGAGGGGACACGTTTCTTCAAATTTGCTTTGTTAGCACAGAAGATAAACTAAATCCTAAAGTGAATATGGTTTAGGCAGATAATATGACAGTAGGATCTAGTTTTTATCCCTAGTCATAGATCTTCTTTCTTACTGATATATAAATGGTTTCAGGATTTTTAGAACTATCAGGAAATCTGAGGCAGTTCCTACTATAAATAATTCATGTTAATATGAATGAAACTATGCTTCCTTTTCATTCAGAGTAGTATTACATAACTAACATTTTTGGGACTCTTTTTGTATCTCAGCTCAGATATCATCTTTAGAGGTCTGCAATGGTCATCTTGAGAAAGCCTCATTTGTTTTCCAGCTGACTTGTAAAATACAGTCTGGAGATTTTACCTGTCTTTTTGTCTGTCCCAAGCATCCAGATACTGGGTCTTCATTACTACCCTTCCTCTAATTCATACTTTAATTCTAATAATTGAATGATTGAGGATTTTCTGCCTCTGTACTAGGGATACAGGGAAAATGCAATTTTCATATCCCTTTTCCTACTCCAGATGTGTTCATTTTTGTGATTTTAAGCAAACTTTTAACTTGTCAAATGCATATCTGAATTGTGCCTGAAATTGAAATTCATGGGTTTTCCTTCCTTGTCTTTTTAGGGTTACCATCGGCCTCACCATTACATTGCAACTCAAGGTAAATATCACAGAATCGGTGTGTGGTCCAAATGACAGGATCCAAAGGTTGTATAAAAATAATAAATAGAAGGTAAAAATAATAAATAGAAGATGCCTGAAAGCTGGTAGTACAATCAATTTGGAAGATAAATCATTGTAAGCGCTTTAGGGCAAAGTACAGTAGAGATGTATTTAGTTTATTATTCATCTTTGCCAGTGGTGGGATTCAATTTTTTTTACTACCGGTTCTGTGGGCGTGGCTTGGTGGGCGTGACAGGGGAAGGATACTGTAAAATCTCCAGTCAAAGGTGGTATTTGATGGTTATCCAAACTACTCAAAATTTCCGCTACCGGTTCTCCAGAACTGGTCAGGCCCTGCTGAATACCACCTCTGATCTTTGCCATTTTAACATAGATTCATTTAAAAGTTCTTTTTTTCAAATTAATTATGATTTATTTAATAACAGTATGAATTCTTACATTTAATTTTTTTCTTTTTGGACATGTTATCTTAATATATGTTTCTAAAGGTATGTTTCTAAAGATAAAAATAACATTAACATTGAGTTCAGGATGATTAATGCACACCAATTATGCATAATAATTGAAAGTTCACATGTGTTGCCCTTAGTTTCATAGGAATCATATTGCAGTCAGTAAGATTCCTTTGTAATTAATTAAACTTGTGTTCCATCCTTTAATTTTTTTTTTCAAAATGGCATTTTTTCACACATTTCCAATACAGTTTTTTTAAAAGGAGATAAAAACACAATCAGAAGTATGAAAAGCAGAACCTAGCACCCAATTCTCAAAGGCAATGAAAAGATTTCTGTTAAAAAAATCACACATTCATTTTGGTAATTAAAATATGACCCAGGAGTGTTATCACCTAACATCTTACCATATAATTGAGGGTGCATTTAGAATTCTTGGTGCCATTTATACTTCGTAAGTATTCTTACCAGACCTAGCAATGTGTACCAGCATAAATTAATATTCTATATTTGCCTCATGTATTACTCCAAACTGACCTTCAATTATGAGTATTTATATCTGTTTGTGGTACTAAATTAAAGTTTAGCACAGTATTCTAAATCCTAGTTACTTACAATGATTCAACAAATATATAGCTCTTCAGACCTCTCCTAAGAAAATAAGCAGGCATACACTACTTTCCGTAGTAGAAGGGCAGTTGGCAGACAGACAAGTAAATTGAAATATTTCTGCTAAAGTAATCTTTGGAATATCTCTTTTGTTTTACTCGTTCTGCCTTCAGGGCCAATGCAAGAGACAGTGAAGGATTTTTGGAGGATGATCTGGCAGGAGAATTCAGTGAGTGTTGTCATGGTCACCAACCTGGTGGAAGTTGGCAGGGTAAGTTGTTAATTTCCAAAGTTATCAGTCATGTATTGTGGTTCATATCATTCTTACATATGCTCAGTTGGAAGGCTTCATTACCCCACTGACACATTAAGTGGCAATATATTCAAAATCTACTTCAAATTTGCATTTAAATACAGATTTTAAAAAAACATTTTGGTGTTATATCACAATAATAAATGAATACATTTGCTAACTGCATTTCTAAACCTACAAAACCTACAAAAAATAAATGTTTGAGCTAAGAACTCAGAATTTAATGAAGTCTGAACTATAATTACATTTTAATCTGCACATTAGATGAAAATCAGCGTAAGTTCATATTGCATTGCACACAGATCAAACTTTTCAGGCAATCTTATCTTGCAGTAATGTACAATATCACTTCTAGTCTACTGTTAGATCTGAGGCAGATCGGTTCGAATGAGACGCGAGACCATTCTAGTGAGTTCAGCTCTTTATTTAGAATAGGAACAGTCTGAGAGATACAAGCCGCGGCAGCCCTTCATATAGGGCTGGCTCGCGGCTCGGCGGCCAATGGCAGCGCTTTGAATCTCCCACGATCGGCACAGCCAATCGCGGTAGATTCTTAGCGCTCCAATCACAGCCGGGGTTTCGACCAATCAGGTCGCTGTCCGTCTGGACCAATCAGTTGCGAGGGTTTGGAGTATGCTAATACAGCACACCCCTCCCCTCTTGGTTTCGCCTGTCGGTGCGTCGTGACGTAGTCGCGTAGGTAGGCGGGGCTTTGTACCTGTCTAGTTGACCTGCGCGGCTCAGTTCTCGTTTGGTTGTCGACCGGTTCGGAGGCCTTCTCTGTCGCTCTGGTTCCCAGGGATGGAACCGCCTGGAAGGTCGGGCTGGGCCTGTCTTGGTAGCTCCCTCCCGGTCTTCCTGGGCTGGTTGAGCTGCTGTCTCTGTTGTTCCCACCGGATCTTTCCGGGCTGGTTGAACTGGCCTGGCTGCTCCTTCCCGGTGACGATTCCGGGGTTGCCTGTTCTGTTGGTCCTGTGTTTACTGGTGAGTAGGACCGGTTTATTTGCGGGTTATTAGTTCCGGGTGGGGGTTGTTCAGCTTGCACTAGGGGGGGTCCCTCTTTCTTTAACGCTTTCTGTTTCCCCCCCCCTTCTAGTTTCTTGCTCGGGTGTATGGCTGTTGGCTATTCTGGACCTCAGTTGGTTAATGTGCCGTTTCCAGTTTTTCCCGTCGCTTGTTTCTAGTTGGTATGATACGGGGCCGGTTATTTGGGTGATTGTTGCTGGTATCCAGAGTGGTTCCCCTGACAGGTTTTTTTGCGTATACGGCATCACCTATGTTGAATTTTCTGTGCTTGCTGGAGGAACCCGGGGGTTTGTCTGGGGTGTATGTGGGGTGCATTCTATCTAGTGTTGATCGTAGTTTTCTGCCCATCATTAGTTCTGCCGGGCTTCTATTTGTGGTTGCGCTAGGTGTAATGTGTTGGATGAGGAGCATTTTATTGATTTTATCTTGTATGTTGGTTGTTTCTATTTTCTGTATGGCTTTTTTTGTGTATTGAACCATGCGTTCCGCCCGTCCGTTTGCCGCCGGATTTGCCGGCGCGGTTAGCGCATGGCGTATGCCCTGGCCTGCCAGAAATTGTTCAAACGCTAGTGCCCGTTGTCAGATACTATTATATCTGGCAAGCCGTGTGTGGCAAAGAGTTTGCTCAGTTTCCTTATTACCGCCTCCGTTGTGGTTGATTTCATGGTGCTTACCTCCAGCCAGTTGGAGTAAGCATCTACTGTGATGAGATACATGTGCCCCTTTGTTGGCCCCGCGAAGTCTATGTGAATCTGAGACCACGGTCCTCTTGGTGTTTCCCATTCATGTATTGGGGCGGCGGGAGGACTGGGTCTGGATTCTTGGCATTGTTTGCATTTGGCTACCCAGGTTTCGATCTATTTGTCCATGCCTGGCCACCATGCATAGCTTCTGGCCAGGCTTTTCATCTTAACCATTCCTGGGTGCCCCTCATGCAGCATCCCCAATACCCTTTCTTGCAATGTTTCCGGGATTACCACTCTGTCTCCCCAAAATATACAGCCCTTCTCGGTAAAGAGTTCAGTTTGTCTGTTTCTGAAGGGTCTGAATAGTTCATCCCTGTCCCCTTCCAGCCATCCTCTTCCAACCCAGCTTAGGACTCGCGCCAGCCGCTTGTCTTTATTTGTTTCTCTGGCAATGTCTGGCGCGGTCACTAGTGGGTTGGGTATTGTCTCTATTTGAAGTACCTTTGTCGTGGGTGCCGGGTCATCTTCTAGGTCGGGCAGGGGTGAGCGGCTCAGGGCGTCTGTGTGGGTGATGTCCTTCCCGGGTCGGTGAACCAGCTGGTAATTGTATGCTGACAGGAACTCAGACCACCTTGTCATTCTTGGTGATAGAATGTTTGGTGTGGCCTTATTTCCTGCCAGGATCCCTAGCAGCGGCTTGTGGTCCGTGATGATTGTAAAAGTCCTACCGTAAAGGTATTCGTTGAATTTCTTGATGCCAGCGATGACTGCTAGGGCCTCTTTGTTGAGCTGGCTGTAGTTCCACTCCGGCTTTGAAAGTGTCCTTGATGAGAAGGTGATGGGTGCTTCCCTCCCGTCTGGTAGCTGGTGGCTGAGGATGGCGCCGATCCCAAAAGGCGATGCGTCGCACGTTACCGTTAATGGCAGGGTCTCGCTGTGCTGGATTAGTACCGCATCAGATGTTAGCAGTTTCTTTGTGTTGTTGAAGGCGCTCTCCTCCCGTGCTCCCCAGGTCCAGGTGGCTGTTTTATCTAACAGCCTATGCAGCGGTTCCGCCACGGTCGCCTTTTGAGGTAGGAAGACATTGTAAAAGTTTAACAGTCCCAAGAAAGCCTGCAGTTCCGTTTTGTTTTTGGGTCGTGGCGCTTCCCTTATGGCTCTCAGTTTCTTCTCTGTGGGGTGGATCCCTTGTTTGTCTAGGAGGTACCCTAGGAATTCGACCCTCTCAGCCCGTAGCTGGCACTTCCCTTTCTTGACTTTGAGTCCCGAGTCTCTGAATTTCTTCAGTACCTCCCTCAACCGGGCTTCTAGTTGCTTTTCGTTTTTCGTGGCCACTAAGACGTTGTCAAAGTAGGGCACCACCCCCTCTATGCCCTGGAGGAGTCTTTCCATGAGGCTTTGGAAGACCCTGGGTGCCACGCTGACTCCGAACTGGAGCCGGTTGCAACGGAAAGCCCCCCGGTGCGTTACGATGGTCTGGGCTTCGGCGGTTGCGGCGTCGACCGGCAGTTGCTGGTAGGCTTGCGCCAGGTCGAGTTTGGCAAAGATCCGGCCTCCCCCCAGCGAGTGCAGAAGGTGCTGCACTACTGGGACAGGGTATGCGCTTTGCTGGAGCGCGTGGTTTAGGGTGGCCTTATAGTCCCCACAAATTCTCACGGACCCATCTGGCTTGATGGGGGTGACTATGGGGGTCTCCCACCTGGCATGATCGATTGGCTCCAGTACCCCTTGCACGATGAGCTTATCTAGCTGCTCATTGATCTTGGGCTTGAGTGCAAACAGCACTCGTCTGGGCTTAAGGTGGATTGGTGCGATGCTCGGGTCTATGTTAAAAGAGATAGGGGACCCCCGGTACTTGCCTAGGCTGTCATCGAAAACTTCCCGGAAGTCCTCCACGAGCGCCGCTTCCCAGTCCGACTCTGCGGTGTGGTGGATTCCGGTTACTTCAATGCCTAGGGGTGCGAACCACTGTAATTCCAACAGGCTCGGCCGATCCCGGTCGACGATGGTCAGGGGTAGCACTTCGGTGTGGTTCTTGAAGGTGACTTTAAAATGGCCTCTGCCAACTACAGGGATGCGGTTTCCCTGGTAGTCTTTGAGGGTTAGTGTTTGGTCTTCTAATTCTTTGCGGTGGATGGAGGGAACCAGGCGCTTGATGGTGTGCCATGAGACCATGGAGAGGGAGGACCCAGAGTCCACCTCCATGTCGCATGGCTGGTCTTCTATCCCCACCGTCACGTATACCTTTCTGGCGTCGCTTGTGGAGGAATGGCCGCCGCCGACGGTCTGGTGTGTTTCTTCCCTTTGCCTTGCCTCGTTGAGCCGCCTGTTCCGACCCTCTTGGCTCCAGCGGCTCTCCATCTGGCGGTCTCAGTATCTGGTGGGGGTGTTCTCTTGCCTCCGAGGGCTGCCATCTCATCGCCGCCATCTTCTGCACACCTTGGCGATGTGCCCCCGTTTCTCGCACTGTTGGCAAATGGCATCGAGGAACCGGCAGTCCGAACGGGGGTGATCGCCTCCGCAGCCGGCGCACTGGAACCTCAACTTATGACCTTGGGGTTCCCGTCACCCTCGTGCTGCTTGCAGGTGGTGATTTCCTCCTTCTCATCCTCGGCTTCTGAGAAGAAGTCAATGTCGCCGTGGTGCGTAGTTGCGTCCCGGTGGTCGATTTCGGGTCGCCTTTCGGGGTTCGGTGTCGTCTCGCCGGTCGCTGCTCGTGGCATGATGCTCGATTGCCGCATTCGAGCCGCTGATTTCTTGGCCGCTTCAGCCGCGGCTACCTCTGTGAGCGCATCGGCGAGGGAGATGTCGCCCTTCGCCATGATGCGGCTCTGGAGAATAGGGTCTCGGAGTCCCAGGACGATGTGGTCTCGTAGGGCCTCGTCCAGGTCGGCGAACTCGCACAGGCCGCCCAAATCTCGTAGTGCCGCTAAGAAGTCGCCAAGCCCCTCGCCCTCGCGCTGGTCCCTCCTGTAGAAGTCGTGCCGCCGGATGAGGATGGGCATGACGGGAGTGTAGTGGCTTCGTAGCAGGGGCTCGAGGTCGCCCCACTCCATGGTCTTGACGTCCTCCGGCTTGGCCAAGGCTTTGGCCATCTTAAACACTGCCGGCCCGCAGTGTGCGAGGAATACGGCCCGTTTCTTGTGGCCGTTGGCATCTTTGAGATTGCTACACATCTGGAACCTATCAGTATAGGATTCCCAGTCCTCGGTAGCGGGATTGAAGGGTGCGGGTGGTGAGTTGATGCCGGCCATGCTGCTTGCTGCTGTGTGCCGCCTCGCCACGTGCTAGGTGGTCTCCTTGTCTCACGATCCCATCCTCGTCACCAGTGTTAGATCTGAGGCAGATCGGTTCGAATGAGACGCGAGACCATTCTAGTGAGTTCAGCTCTTTATTTAGAATAGGAACAGTCTGAGAGGTACAAGCTGCAGCAGCCCTTCATATAGGGCTGGCTCGCGGCTCGGCGGCCAATGGCAGCGCTTTGAATCTCCCGCGATTGGCACAGCCAATCACGGTAGATTCTTAGCGCTCCAATCACGGCCGGGGTTTCGACCAATCAGGTCGCTGTCCGTCTGGACCAATCAGTTGCGAGGGTTTGGAGTATGCTAATACAGCACATCTACATTATTCTGTTTTCCCAAATTTTAAAGCATTTGAACAAATACAATACTTGCCCTCTGATATGGTATAAAAGACAATGAAGATGAGATGAGATGAGGTGATGTGATGTGATGTGATGTGATGAAGTGAGGTGAGGTGAGGTGAGAAGAGTCATTTTTTTCACTGTGAGCACATTGACCCACATTAAAAATGAAATTATGTTGCCTGCTCTCAAGAGAAAGTATATATCTACCCAAACACATACATAACACACACATACACATATTTATGTAGCAGAAAGAGGAAACCTGAGCATTCACAAGGTTGATTCTATATGGAACAAAACTATGACTGAATCTAGATGTTCTGCTTCAGATACCATGAAGCCTCCTACCAGAAGGTAACAGGGAAAACAGTTTGTGAAGAAGATGTGTAGGGTCCCAGACAATCCTGCAGACTCTGCTCAAGCATTGCTTATTTGCTATGTCCTGGGCAGAAGGAAGAGAACTACCAATGATCTTTTCTGCCATCCTCACCACTCTCTGCACTGACTTCCTGTCTGAAGCAGTAATGCTTCTAAACCAATATGACAGAATGCTCTCAATCTATAAAATTGGTAAAGACAGGGGAAAGAAGATAAACTTTTCTCATGTGATGCAGAAAATGCAGATGCTGCTGTGCTTGCTTCACCAGTGTCTCTCAACGTTGAGCTACCTAGCTAGTCTACCCATTAGCTGCACACCCAGAAACATGATGCTGCTAACCACCTGGACAGGTGAATCAATAATACGTAGAGGTGTGTGGTTGTGCCTGCCTTTTATGAAATCAACAATGATAAAAATTAAACAGTTAGCAAAGGAGTGAGTTAAAGCGGTATACACTTAATGTTTTAATCTATATAAATATAGATTGAATATATACTAAGGGAAGTTAATTTCAAAGGGACGAATTTGGCTTTAAAATTGGAGGAAAACCTAAACTATTCTGATAGCTAAAAAACAAATACTCTGCAATTTCTAGTAATAAAAGAAATAGAATTAAGTAAAAAAGGAGGACTATGATTAGGTATAAAGTTCAAACTAATAATAGTACCACAGCCAGATTTAGAATTGACAATGAAGACACTGAGGTGATAGACACCTTCTATTTTTAAAAGATCAATTATTAATAGGAGCAGAAGTCACGCAACCAGAAGTCAAGAAACATTCTGCAGCCTAGCACTTGGTAGGGTAAGAATAAAAGTCATGGAAGAAATATTCACATTCTATAACATACCTATATTTCTAAAGATCAGAACCATGCAGGCAATGGTTTCCCTATCACACTCTATGCATGTCAAAGTTCAACTTTGAAGAAAAAGGATAAAAAGAATATTGATGCATTGAGGAAGATTCCTGAGAATACCATAGGTAGCCAAGAAAACAAATAAATGGGTCACAGAATAAATCAACCGAGAGTTTTCATTTGAGACACAAATGGCCAATTTTAAATGCAAAGATCATAATATGTCCATAACATTGGGAAATGTAGAAAGAAAAAGAAGACAATGACCAGGATCAAAGTGGATGAATTTAATTACTGCAGTAATGGATACACCATTAAGACACCTGAAGAATCCATCCAGATCATTCTGAAGAACGGTGAAAATATAATAAGAGCAGGGGTGGGATTCAAATTTCTTAACAACCCATTCTGTGGGTTGGCCTAATTTGTGGGCATGACTTGGTGGTCATGTGACTGGTGGTCATGGCTTGTATGTAAATATTATAAATATTTATGTAAATATTGATTTTTTTTAATAAAAAAGAGCAACTTTTACCCAAAAGCAGGCAAAGCAGGCAGGCAGATTGAGTTGCTCACAGAATTACAGATTCACTTAGAGATCTATCTATCTGCAATCAGCTACCTGGGTCTGTCACATAAAATTTGTTTGCAAGTAAACTCATAAAATTTGCTAGCAAGCAAACTGACAAAATTAACTCACAATACACCATGTATGTAAATATTGAATTTTTTTTATAAAAAAGAGAGCAACTTTTACCCAAAAGCAGGCAAAGCAGGCAGGCAAATTGAGTTGCTCACAGAATCACAGATTCACTTAGAAATCTATCCATCTGCAATCGGCTACCTGAGTCTGCACTGAAAAGTAGAAGCTTGAGTCCTAAGGAAGGTTCGGCTCTGTTTTTAGATTAGCTAGAAAGCAAGAAATCCAAGGATTTCCTGCTTTCTAGCTAATCTAAATCTCCCAGCTGAGCAGAACAGCTGATGGTCAGGAAAAAAAAAAGGAAAAATAGCAACTTACCAAACCAGGCAAGTTGTATGGCTCACATGCCAGGTAAGGAGTGAGTGGGTAGGGAGGGAGGGGCCAGCCAGTGGAGCGATTTGCTAGTTCTCCTGTGTGCAGCGTTTGCAAGAAATCAGCTGTGTTGCCTGGACAGCTGACAAGCGCTGCGCTCATTTGAAAATCCTCTTGTTTCCTGCTTTTTCAATCTCAGCTGTGCCATGCAAAGCAGCTGAGGAGGGAAAAGCAGGGAATAATCAACAGCCTAGAGCCCGGGCAGGCAGGTGGGCCAAACACTGAAGCGGTGAGGTGTGAGCTGCTCTTCGCAGATACTGGTTCTATAGAACCGGGCTGAACTGGTAGCATCCCACTCCTGACTAAGAGTTGATACTGATTGGATGGCACATAACCTAGCAATACAAAAAGGCTCTCTATCTAATTGGATTTTATAAGAGTAGCAATTTTGCCCAATTACCTAATGCTAGGTAATTGGGCAAATTACCTAACATTAGGTAATTTCTTTCTCATCACCTTCTTTCTTTTTCACTCAACTTTCCTAATGTCACCTCCCCCCCCACATTTATTGAATTTTATTGTGTACAGATTTCAGTTCTGACAAGTTTAGATTAGATTCCTTCTCTCTTTCCTAATTTTACCTACAGTAAAGTCAGAATTAACAATTCAGTGAATGAACAATATTTTATGCGATCATTTCCCCAACTTTAATGTAGATCATTATTTTATCATGATAAATATTGTTAGGATAGCAAGTTTGGCTATTTGCAAATTGGTTGGTAAACACTAGAGGAATGATAATAGAATTTGTTCATGTATCACTATTCATATATGTATAATTATATTTCCATATAAGTATATTACTGGTCTAATTCAAAGTGAAGCACTGCAAATATAGGCTGAAAAAGGTTTCCATAAACAAATGGGTTTCATATATCAAACACTAATACCAAAACAAATAAATCATCAATACTTATTATTCTGGGTCTTTTCTGGATTACTAATAATTGATGCAGACAACCATGTACGTGAGAGGTCTTCTGATTTCTTCTTCTACAGGAATGTACATTTTAGGACCATATCTGGACCTAGAAAACACTGTCTTACAGCTCAACATCATACATTAATTTTCACTTTTGTGACTTTCCCCTCCATAGGTGAAGTGTGTCAGATACTGGCCTGATGACACAGAAGTCTATGGAGATATCAAAGTGACCTTAATTGAGACAGAACCATTGGCAGAATATGTCATACGTACTTTTACAGTCCAAAAAGTAAGGATACATTGGTCCTACCTTCCTCATCAATTAATTTATTTTCCAGTATATTTCTTTCCATGTTTCACTAAGAAATATGACAGTCAATATGTAATCACCACTATACATTATACACTTTAGTATATGAAGTAAATTAGACAGAGACATGGAGGACAAAAAAACATAGCTATGCCTTATCTCTAAAATCAGACAAAATACAGAACAGCAACTTTTATGCATAGCTTAATAATTTCCCATAAACTAGGGGAATTCATGTCAGTGATAAGTAGAATTGTAAATAGAATCATAGAACTGAAAGAGACTGCCTAGGCCATGAAATTCAAATTTATATTCAATATTTCCTTGATCTTATCTAGCAAAGACAAGTCCATCATCCCTTTGGGTTATATTGATTCATTATACAGCAAAGTGACATTCATCTTAATAGCAATAGCATTTAGGCTTAAACTCTTATCACTACCCTACATTATTATTTTCTTTCTCTTTTTCTTAAGAAAAAGGATGAAACTTTGGAGGAATACAGAAGATCATCATGATCCTTCATACTATAAGTGTAGAAGTTGGTATATAGAATAAACAGAATGCTAGTTTTGTCTCTCTGCTTTCAGATCAGATGTTATTTCTTTACCACGCAGCAGTAAAGAAATACCAACATCTTATTTGAAAGCAGTTTGAATTGGTTTTCATTATATGATTATTTGTATCAAGCATTATATTGCTAATTATTGGATTATGTACGCAAGTGCGTTTTTAAATAATTGCTACTTGTTCCTCTATGTCATTCTTTAGCAGAATAGTACATTAAAAAAGCATACTACATATGTTTTGCATACATAAATGTTTCCTACTTTTAAATATGTTTTTCAGAAGTCAAAACCAGAATAATACATTTTTGAAATAGTAAAACAAGCTAGAACTATATTACTGTAATTTGTATGATCACAGCATTTTCAGAATAATTATTTGGCATGCTTCCCTTGTTCTTAATTTGGATTTCAGCCTTACTGAGCATACTTTCGAAATAAATAAAAAATATAGATGGTACCTTAATTATGTACCACTTATACCTTGCAGCTAATTGGAGTACTTCTACTTTTTAAAAACTAGTTTGCTACTGTTTACTGCCAAGACATTTATCATCATAAACTGGATGTGAATTTGCCAGATTTAACAAAGCAAAGTTATGATTGCCTACTAGTACACAGTTTCTTTAGCATCCTTTGTTCAAGGAATGATAGGGGATAATTGCACAACTTTTTTTTAAATTGAATTCATGAAACTTCAAATTTATTTTTTTTATTAAAATCACTTAAATTGTGTACAAACATGTATATGTATACACAGAGAAATATACACATACACAAGCATGCCTTTTCACTTTGCATTTTCAGAAAAATACCCACACACATACTTGAAATACATGAAGTTGTAAGTAGAGTTGAAGGGAAAAAATCAATTATTTCCCCCCCCCACACACAATTTTTCTTCAAAATTGATTGTTTTAGGGGCACCATGAATAAGATAAAAGAAGGTTGGTTTTTTTCATTGTAACATTCTAGGTAAAATGAGATTTTATATTTAGATTGATTTCCTGTTGGGTAAATCTAGTCTCAACCTAAGAAAGAAACAACTTATAATTAAATAGTACTTATTATGAAAGAGAATAGAAGATTTTTTTAATTATTGTATATTCTTTTCAGAAAGGCTACCATGAGATTCGAGAAATTCGTCAATTCCATTTCACTAGCTGGCCAGACCACGGGGTTCCTTGTTATGCTACAGGTCTCTTGGGCTTTGTTCGACAAGTGAAGTTTCTCAACCCACCAGATGCAGGGCCTATTGTTGTGCACTGCAGGTACAAACTTTGTTTCCATCTGTCATTTCCTTTCATCCATTTTCACCAGTGCTGATTATTTCCCTAGCTTACCAGGCATTCTACTATCCTAGATAGAATGAATGTTGCATTATCCAAAATCTTATCATACAACAAACCTTCTGTAAATGTGTAAGGAGATTCTCAGTCATCCAGGTCATGGTTGTCTCAAAGGTGCTTTTCCAAAAGGCAATTGAACTTCTGTTTTTTCTTTGAAGAAAAAACTTTGAAGCTGAAGAAGCTTCTTGGATGAGAAAGATAACAGATAATCAGAGTTGGAAGGGACCTTGTAGGTCATCTAGTCCAACACCCCACCCATTTCTGACAAATGGCAGTCCAATCTCTTCTTGAAAGTCTCAAGTGATGGTGCTCCCACAACTTCTGAGGGCAAGCTGTTCCATTGGTTGATTGTTCTCACTGTCAGAAAGTTTCTCCTTATTTCCAGGTTAAATCTCTCCTTGTTCAGTTTCCATCCATTATTCCTTGTCTGACCTACAGGCGCTTTAGAAAATAGCTTGACCCCTTCCTCCCTGTGGCAGCCCCTCAAATATTGGAAGACCACTATCATGTCTCCCCTGGTCCTTCTCTTTACTAGACTAGCCAAGCCCAGTTCCTGCAACCATTCATTGAAAAACTAGAAAGTCCAGTTGCTTCTTGAAAACGTACTTTTGGAACAAACCTTCTGTATATCAACTGCATTTATTTCTCACAATAGACCCATATCTGAAAAATATAATTTGATTGTACGTATACACTTTTGGTAGATACATAACCTTTGACTTCTATGTAGAAGACTAAATTGGGTATTACTCAGTATCTTCCTGTGTAGGGTGCTATAACTACTGTATTTCAAGTGAGTTCTAAACATTAATAGCATTCATTTCTCAATGCAATATCATGTTCAAAATGTAAATCTGATAGAAGCATTTTCTATTATAAATACTATTCTAAAAGTAGATAGACAATTTGATCCTGATCCCGGTAGATAATGTTCTGAAGATGTTTGTTCTTAATTTTAAATGACTCACATGTACCTAACCTTTTTTTTTTTTTTTTTGGTTAAGTGTTGAAATAGCAATATCCAATATAGTAGTGATGGCTAAATTTTCCCTAAAGTTTTAGAAACACTCAATAGTGAAATGGGTGGCATATAAATATAATAAATAAATAAGATGTTTCCTTGGGTAGTTAGGTTAGGTCTACAAAAATGCTGAATGTCATCTATTGGTCATCTGATTATTTTCATCTCAAAACTTTATGGATAGTATGGGTCAATACTTAAGTACACATGTTAATGTTAATGTTATATTTATTACAATTCTGAAGGACAAAAAAGTGAATTAAAGAGAATGAAATGCCATATATTTATTAAGCTGATAGCAATTATTCTTTCCTAGCTCTAGTTTGTTCCAATTGATAATAATTCATACTCTATTCATATCTCCTGGTTATTGCAGCATTTTGTTTTAGCTGCATTTTCATCATACTTGGGAAAGGACATTGTATATTCTTTCTTGTTTGCAGAATGATATTTCACAGTGGGAGAAAGGAGACAGGGAAGATGATTTGCATTTAGAGGCAAATCATTTTTTTCTGTCCAACCTGAGCAACTGTGCATGGCAGAAATAGAATGTGAAATTATTTTCCGGTGAGACTCCCTGGCTGCCACTGTGAGTCAATCAAGGGTGAAAGTTTTGGTAGAAGCAGTGGAAATACCTCATGCCATGCAATTTTAAAAGATTAATTTTCTGTGGTACTGTCTGCTGACCTTAACTTGGAAGCAGTCAACAACCATTTATATGCACAATGATAATTAAATTCCCCCTTAACTGGTAAGGACAGGAATTCTCCTGCCATCAGTTGTCCCATATCAGCAGCCAATGACTACATTTGTCTTCTGCTTCATTAAATCTTAAATAGGCCAATTTTTAGAAATGGCTAAAGAGTTAATTTGGATTTTATTCATGTAATAATTTATTGTCAGTTTGAATTATTTTTAGGAATACAACAATTTAAAGAATAAAATATATGCAAAGTTCATATTTTTTCCACTGAGAATCAAACTACCGGTATACCATTAGTAACTTTGCAGTAGTGACCATTTGTATTTCTTTGGATCGTGAGGTTTTAAATTAACCAGCACAATTCTCTGCAGTTTTTTTCTGGCACTTAAATTCAAATATGCTTTAAATGAACTCTGGGAAATGTGATTTTAGTATATTTAAACTTCATTGTGTGAACAAAATGTATTTGTGGAATATGTGGTAACGAAATAAATAAACTTAAATTACAAAATTAAGATTTCAGGGGAAAAGTTCTAACTCAGCCTTTTTATTTGAACATTATTTTTATGTGTGCTGAAAAGCCCTTTCCTTTCCCTTCATTCTTAACTGCTACTACAACATTTAGTGTGCAAATTGGATTCCTGTATGCCAGATAAAGTTGGAGCAGTACTTCTGCAAGACACACATTCCTGAAAGATTACAACACTCAGAACTCCAAATAACCTGAACATTTTTACAGAAATGTTAACATCTAGATTGTCAAACTAGTGAAAAGTTGGCCTTTTGAGATCAGACTTAATTTCCTTCCCCCACAGATAACCTGCCTAATCTTAAGGGCCAAAGTGCAGAAGGAAATATTCAGATTTTTATAGACCTATCATTTCTGAAATAAACAAGAAACTTGCTTAAAACAAAAAAAGTGAAAGAATAACTGCTTCAAATAATGTAGCTCATCTCTCTTTCATCAGGTGTCATCTAAGATAAAGGCGAGAGACAAGCTTGATTTTTTTAAAATTTTGTGTCTTCTTTCTTTCTCTCACTTTTTTTAATTCCCTTTTTTTCTTAATTTTGCAGCTTTGCAAAGGGAAGCTGAAACAGGCAGTAAAGTTCAGATCTTTGTAGCAAAGGGACTAAAGGAAAAATACAGCTGCATTTGCACCATATAATCCTCACCGCAATCTAAAAACACAGTCATTGTTATGCCATTGGTTCATTGACAAGATCCTTGTTCTGGTTTTCTCTTTCAGTGCTGGTGCTGGGAGGACAGGGTGTTTTATTGCCATAGACATCATGCTTGACATGGCAGAAAACGAAGGTGTGGTGGATATATTTAATTGTGTGAGAGAGTTGCGATCCCAGAGAGTTAACTTGGTGCAAACGGAGGTATCCTTTTTTATTTTTTGTTCTCTTATTTTTCAGGCTATTCCTAAGCAAAAGTTCAGTACTTTCAGATGGGTGCAAATTGAATAAAATAGAATAAAATATACACTTGTGAAAATATACTGTATAATATTTCAAAATATTTTCAGCACACTAGCTTAATTTTAATAAACCATGTTAGCTTAATTTAGTAACATTGCTTTCCATGATATAAAATACTTCTGAGCTCCATTATTGCTTAGAGTAATGTATGTACATATTATTATTTTTTTGCTAAAATTCTTACAAAAAACAGAGATGGCTAGTACCGTTGTAGAAAAATCATCTTTTTCAAATGCCACTTTTAAAAATATATGATTCATACACAAATAAAGCCTATGTTCACCACCAGATTCAAACAGCATTTATAATGGCCAACATTATATTCATAGTCTATTTTCTGTTGAAATGGTTAACCCATATCAGTTTCCATGAGCTGAAATACAATCAGCACTATAAGTACTTTTCTAGATTTCTCTAACTACCTAATTTAATTTAATTTGATTTAAGAAACTATTTTCTCTAACTAGTTTACTTTAAGTTTCAAGTAAATTCTATAACACTGTATCTTTTGAGGTTATTTTATAAGATTCGGTGGTTGAAGTCTTTAGAATAAAGGTTAGACTTTTAAATTATGTTGATTCTTTCTACTTGTAAAGCTGGCAAAAGTCTTTTTGAAGTTGGGCAGCCTAGAAATTCAATCAATCAACCAGTCAATAAATAAATAAAGAATGCTTATGATCTTCTAGTACAAGTTCATTCAGATATACCGTGTTTCTCCAACAATACGACCTACATCAATAGGAAGGCCCAGCATGTTTTATCGACATAAAATCAAATTAAGCCCCTCCTCCCAAATTAAGGCCTATATTAAACATGCGAAATGGGGGGGAATGGTGGGGGGGCTTGCCGTTAGGAAGTACTTTTGTTGCATACCTGGATATGGTGCTGCCTGCATTAACTTTGGTGTTGGGGGCACTTCGTATCAGGAGACCTTCCTCTACCATTGCTTTCCCTTCTCCCTTGCTGCTGTGGCGTTTAGAGCAATGCCACAGTGTTTGGCGCAGCCACGCGCAGCCAGCCAGGGCTCCTCCCCGCAACCGGAGCCCGGCGGAGACACTCGGCTTCAGGCACTCCTGTCGCTGCCTTCCCTTTGCCTTCAAAGGCAAAGCCAATTCTTTTAAAAATAACACCCTACTACCGGTACAACAAAGCCTCCCCTGCCCGAGAGGGCAGCCCAACCCCACGTGGGGAGGTGAATCTCCCGGGGCCACAGTGCAGGATCGGCCCACCCCGGGAGAAGCACCCAGCCGCCATCCCTGCCTGGCACCGGGCAGAATGCGAAGAGCTTTGCCTGGGGCACCCAGCGCAGCTGACACGTGGGACCTCCTGCCCGGCGGTGGAGCTCTCACCAAGGCAGCGAGTGCCTCCCCTCTGGACCCTCTGCTCATCCCATCAGGGCTGCGCCAGAGTCGTGCGGGCTGGGCAGAGCCGGGAAAGCAAGCCGCAGGTGCGCACCTGCCTGCCAAGCGAAAGAGCCGGGCCAACCCAAGCTTGGCTTCCTTCCCAAGGTCCCTCCAGTCCAAACCTGAAGCATCCGTGGACAGGGAGGCAAGGGGATGACCTGCGCTGCGTCCTCCTCCGAGCTGAGCCCCGCCAAGTCAGTGCCTCTGCCTGATGTCCATTCCGCTGCAGCATTTGGAGCTGCCGGCGCATTTGGAGATGCGTGGGGATGGGGACAGGCTGGGCGAGGGGTGGAAAGGATGGGCAGCTTCGGGCTCTCTCTGCCAGCCAGGGAAGCAGCACTGCCATCACTTCGCCTCCCTGTCCGTGGACGGGTGGGTGCTATCACTGCCTCGGGTAGCCTTTTCCGGTGGCCGCTTCGGGTTCACACTGGAGGGACTTGGGAAGGAAGCCAAGCTCAGGTCGGCCTGGCTCTTTTGCTTGGCAGGCAGGCACGCACCCGCGGCTCGCTTTCCTGCCCAGCCCGCACGGCTCTGGCGCAGCCCTGGTGGGATGAGTGGAGGGTCCGGCAGGGAGGCGTTCGCTGCCTTGGTGAGAGCTCTGCTTCCGGGAAGGAGGGCCCGCCTGTCAGCTGCGCTGGGCACCCCAGGCAAAGCTCTTCGCGCTCTGCCCAGCGCCAGGCAGGGATGGCGGCTGGGCACTTCTCCCGAGGTAGGCCGATCCTGTGCTGCGGCCCCGGGAGATTCACCTCCCCACGTGGAGTTGGGCTGCCCTCTCGGGCAGGGGAGTCTTTGTTGAAGTAGGGTGTTGTTTTTAAAATAATTCGCTTTACCTTCGAAGGCGAAGGGAAGGCAGTGACAGGAGTGCCTGAAGCCGAGTGTCTCCACCGGGCTCCAGTTGCAGGGAGGAGCCCTGGCTGGCCGCACGTGGCTGCGCCAAACACCACGGCATTGCTCTAAATGCCGCAGCAGCAAGGAAGAAGGGAAAGCAATGGTGGCGGAAGGTCTCCCGATATGAAGTGCCCCACCAACGCTGAGGTCAACATCCAAGCTATCGCTGCCCGCCCACCCGAGGATGCAAGTGGGGGGGAATTAAGTCACCCCCGAAAAGACAGCCTAGCCGTTTTTTGGGGGGTAAAAAAAAAAATAAGGCCCGGCCTTATTTTGTGAGAAACACGGTATTTATTGAACAGGGAACTGTAACTGCTCATTTTCCTTCTGGCAAATGATTGATTATATTAATGAGTAAAATAAGTCAGTCTGCTTAACAAACAATAAAACTAGACAGAGTATTTCATGGTTAGAATATTTCATGGAATCAAATTCTATCTTCATTTAAAATATTGAGGATTTAGACCTAGGAATTTATACCATGTTGACAGTGTAAAATGGCATGAAGGTAGATGGCTCTATAGATTAGATATAAACAATTATAATGATAAAATCGATAAATATCTAAGTAAAATAAGCTTATTTTCAATAGTTTTTTTTCTACTGAAATGCTGATACCTCTTATAATACAGTCATCACCAATACAATAGCATATTCTCTCTCTAGATTTAATTTGTCTGTACATCCAATGCTAAAGTGTAAGAACTTCTCACACTTTACCCTTTTGTTGGATTAGGAAAATGTTTTGTTTTCTTGTTGACCTGAAGTTCTTTAAAGTTTCATTAAAATAAAAGTCATTACAATTGCTTCTGAAGGTCCTGATGATGATTCACAATTAACTTTTTTGATATGTAGGAGCAGTATGTGTTTGTTCATGATGCTATTCTGGAAGCGTGCCTTTGTGGCAACACTGCCATTCCTGTTTGTGAATTCAGATCTATATACTACAACATCAGCAGATTGGATCCACAGACAAATTCCAGCCAGATAAAAGATGAATTCCAGGTAAGGCGATGGATAAATAATGTTCCTTATATATCTTCAGCCATAGAAAATTATGGCTAATGTGCCAGTGTTAAAGTAGATTTTATAAAGATTATTCAGGATTTTCTCAAGCAAGAAGTAAACTATATAAACTCCAAAATCCTTTTCAGGTTAAAGTCCATCCATCAAAGACCACCAAAGACTTTTCCCACTCACATGAAATTAACAAAGATATCAACGAGTCCAACTGCCTTTGGTAGTCTGCATCAGAAAAAAAAATACTCAAGTTAATTCAGGATCCTCTTGGCCCCAAGAGTGTTTATGGAGAAGAATCAACCTTCCCCCAGTAATTTTTCTTGGAATATTCTTTTTATCTCTTCATTTGAGAAAGTCTCTCCTCTGTATTCAAAGGTATCATTTACAACAATGTCCACATGAAAGTATCCAAGTGTGCTTGAAAGCCACTTGGAAACTACTGCTGGTTAAGAATGCACTGGCATGGGCAGTGATAGATGTGCACTATATGCCCATTTCCCTGCTGTTTTGCAAGCTGCACTGACTATCAATTGGCTTCTAAATACAGATTAAGTTACTGGCTATTATGATTAAAGCCCTAGGTCCTGGTTACTTGACGGATTGCCTGCCTCCATATATTTTCATAGCACGGGTCATCTAGAATGGGCACATTCCAGCTACCATCAATTAAGCAGTTTCATCTTATGGGACCCAGGAAGGATGGTGATGACTCTCACTGATGGCCCCTTATCTACAGAATAATACCTTCCCAGAAATTCATACTTCTCTCACTTTTCTGACTTTCTACAAATTGCTTAAGACCTGGTTGTCCTCCTGGTTGATTATTGAGGGCATTTGTGATCATCAGTCAGCTATTCTTTTTTTCCCTTTTTTTCTTTTTTTCTCTATAAGTTTCCGGAGGTGCTATAGAGTCAGGAAGCCTCAAAATTAATCATATAAATAATGTAATAAGCAGAGATAAGTAGAGATTTCATAGATAGATGCAAATGTACAAGTAAGCCTTTCATTTCCTATCTCTCCAAAAAAATGATTACAAAATGCCTGGTTTAACTTATATCTAGAAGCATGTGATCTTTGTCAAATAATTGACATACACAATTATCCAGTTCACATTGTTTGGAAAAGAGAGAAGCCAAAAGAAATAGGTCAGGTTATTTCCAAGTTAATTTTGGGTGAGCCTTAAGTGTCTCATCCATCTTTAGACATAAGATATATTATTTTAAATACTGAAAAAGAAATGAGAGATAAGAAACTAAATTTGAGATGAAACTTCCTAGTCACAAGACTAAAATTGCAAAACTGAATCATGAAAATATAGGTAGGAAATGTGACTGCTTCCAAACATGCATGATATATTTTTCCATCACTATTACAAAAATTGCAAACCATATTTAGATATCAGAGTTATACTCCTGAAAGGTGTTTATCCAAGAGTGTTATAGATTAACCATTGAGATTAGTTATTTCTTGATTTTTAGTTCTGGTTGTCTTAAAAGTTTGCTTTGATCAATGTTCTGAGTTATGCTTATATTGCTTTACTGTCATATTGCATTACTGAAAAGTTACAATTCTATGACTCAGAAAAATATGTGATTAAAAGCCCCCACCTGTTCCATATTTATACTTGTCAGACTCCAAGGTTTAATGGTAAATCACAGCTTTTCCCAACACTTAACACAACAAATGATTGCCTATTGCAGTAAAAAAATATTGGAGCCAATAGAAATCTACTGTCTATTGCACATAGTTCTCCTCATAACTTAGTCTTTTCTCTCCTGTAAGTTAAAAGGATCAATCTTTTTATGGCCTTGAGGGACAGCTAAAAGATATTTAAGTAATGGTCATTTCTAGCCTAGGAATCACTGGTACCCAGTTTGCATCACCTTTGGTATGTTTTCCTTCACCTTCATTAGTCTGCAGGTGTCAGGTGTTTCTCCCTATTCCTCCTCCTAATTGTGGGCAGGTGAAAGCAATAGTGTCTTTCCTGACTTCTTTGGCAGAAGTGAATAATATTTCCTGCCTTTCATGCTTCTCTGCTTCTTCCTTCTTCTAATACTGGACAGTAGGAAGGGATTAAGAATGTGAGAAAATACAAATGGGAAAAACACCTGTGAGAAGCTTCTTGTAATCAGAACAGACATTAGGTACAGTACTGTATTTATACCTTTAAAGAGATGAAGTCAATACCTTAAAGCTTCCACTGATGGCCAAAGTCTCTTGTTAAAATCATTGTAGTTATTTTTGGCAGGAAGAAATTGCCTGGAAGCAAATTCCTAATGAAGTTGTCCTCAAATTTTGGAGCAGATTGTAGAAGCTCCCAGATGGAAATTAAAATGAGCCTTGGTGATGCAGTGGTTGGAGTGCAGTACTGCAGGCGACTTCTGCTGATTGTCGGCTGCTTGCAATTTGGCAGTTCAAATCCCACCAGGCTCAAGGTTGACTCAGCCTTCCATCCTTCCAAGGTGGGTAAAATGAGGACCCAAAATTGTTGGGGGCAATATGCTGACTCTGTAAACCACTTAGAGAGGGCTATAAAACACTATGAAGCAGTATATAAATCTAAGTGCTATTGCTTTTGCTAAAATAATCAATCAATACAATTAGGTGATGGTGGATCTGTATAAGGGAAAATGGGCTACAGCGTGAATGTTGTTTGAATTTAAGAAAGCTTTATTGGACATTGAAATCTTTTGACAAAAAACAAGAACTTTGCCTTCCTGTAAGTTCTCATTATAAAATCATTTAGACAAGCTAGCTGTGTATTTGATTGAGTAGTGGTGAGAATTTATATTCAAGGAATAAGATTGAGTATGCAATGGTTCTAATACTGATTGTATTTCGCCAGTAAGATACAAGGGTGCATTAAAGAAAATGAATGTAGATGGTTGAGCCCCTGTAGTTGTAAATCTTCAATACAATTGCATAGAATGGAGTGCCTTAGGTGTGTGTGTGTGTGAGGGGGGCTTTTACTGTGTAAAGTAACCACATCATCCACAAAAACGACATTCTCTTTGGTGCATGAACCTAATCTGTTTTTGGCAAGTAATAACTTATTTATTCCCAGATGCAATGGTTCAGCTTCTAAAATCTCACCAACGTGCCTACCGTCCCTGTCCTATTGTTTATTTTATTTTTATTTTTTATTTTTCTTATATGTATTCATGTATTCATAACTATGTTTTTACTTATACCTATTATTTTGTAAGCAATTGACAAAAATAAATAAATAAACAAAAAAGTATGATGAGAAGTCAAGGAAACAGAACAGTGGTGACTTACTTTCTTGACTATTCTGCAGCATTGCATCACATCTTAAACAGATGCCCAGGCAAATTAAATGCTATCATATTCTCTGCAGTGCATTGACAAATGGGTTTGCCTTGTATTTCTTCTGACAGTCCTTCCCTGAATTGGTCAGTTAAGCATTTCAGCCCACATGCTGAACTAACAACTGAAACTCAACAGCATATTCTTGCACTGAATGCTTATTTTTTTGAAAGTGATGGATTTCACAGTTAGCAGGCATTTGTTTGAGTGAATTGTCAAAGTTAAAACTTGAGCATGCTATTAAATTAGTAGTATAGTTGTCCAAGTATGGAATCTTCAAAATCAGAAGGGAGGGCATTCTCTCACTATTATTAGACTAATCATTATAGGAGGAGAGTTATGTTAATCTCACAAAAAATCAGCAAGACTCTATTAGCACTTCTTCAGAATAACACATTTTACTAAAAAACAGAAGCCTTGATGAATTGTAGCTCATCTGATTCATAGAGCAGTTCAATTGATGTAGGATTAAAATTGGGATGAGGCAAGGTGGTGCAAGAAAGATGATTAAGCATCTATCTTACATGCAAGATAGATTACAACTGGCACTTGTAATGTATTTTTAAAAAGTGCCTTTTAAGACCTGTAATATATTTTTAAAGTGTTTATTAAGACCTGTAGTATATTTTTAAAAAGTGTTTATTAAGACTTTTTGAAATACCTTGAAATTTTTTGATGTATGTGAATTGTGCAGTCTCCCTCTATAATGCTGATAAAGTTTTGTTGTTCCAAAACAGCTACCTTGAGATCTATAATAAAGTTTCTTGGGAAATTAAAATGCACCAATATTACTTTGTCCTTGTTTTAACTCCTGATATTACAGATGTCTATTAATTGTTTTGCACAAATTCTTGCCTAGTTGTCCAATGTGGAATAAGAGGAGATTGCTGACAGATAACAACCTTTATCTAATTAAAGGAAGAGTGTGTGGCATAAATGTGCCACCAATCTTGGTTGTACAGCTGTTCGGGCCAGTGATGACACTATTGGTGGAAATGTGGAACACCTGATTTGTTTAACGGCATGATCCCCTTCGTTAGCATCATTGTTTGTTGCTTGTGAGAATCTGTTTTGGGTTATATCAGTATAAATAAGTGTGGATAAACCACCCAGTGCATAAGAAGGATAGTGTGGGCAGTGGCCACCACAGCTAAGATCCCAAAGAACAAAGTAATGCCAAATGTCAGATAGTGTGTGATGAAGCTTTCTTAATAGAAATAATATCAGTAAAAGCAGTATACTTAGTAAGGGGAGCTCTGATGCACAAAGTGGCAGGAGAGACTACTCATAATCACTTGTGTCTATGCTTAGGGGCCTTTAGTACATGTATTTATAGACCTGGACACTCCCCTCCAATCTGATATTAATAAATAGTGCCAGAATGATTAATCACCAAGTGGGTATTTCTGCATTCATATCAGTAAGAAAAAAAGTCTGTGGGAACAAGCATTATTTCTTGCTCCCTAAGCTGAAAGTGGGAAATTGATCAATGGGAAATGGAAAGCCAGTTATGTGGCTAGCAAGACCAGAGGATTAACTGCCTTGTTAGTTAGAGCAGTCAGGTCAATTGCATTGTTAGCAGGAGGGCAGTTATGCTGTTAGAGACTAGAAAGGATAAGAAGGGAAAGCAGCAAGCTCATTGTCCCTGCAGAGAGGTAGTATAGTGTAGAGAGGTAGTATGTAGCTTTCTTTGGAGAACAGAAGAAAGTGGCAAGGATAAGCTAGCTTGACCAGGCCAAAATTTCTGCATTGATCAACTATGTGGAATATTTTTTTATATCAGAAAAAAATATTATTATGGCTAACGTGCCAGTGTTAAAGTAGATTTAGCTTATCTATAAAGTAGATTTAGCTGGGTTATAGCTTATAGATATATTTTAGTGATTAACAGCTGGCTAAATTCTTTGTGAATTTGATTGATAGCAAAACTATCTGATCTCAGGGACATAGTGTTCACATTGTATAAGCAAGACAATAAATTGGATTCCCATTGAATGTGTTATGCAAGAAAGCTGATATTGATGTCAAGATGGCTTCATCAGCTCCAGCAATGACTGCAAAGGCTTGTGATGTGCAGATATCAACAGCCGCAAAAGATTCTGGGACAATCTTGTGCCTAATTATACATATGACTACATATGGTCCTTTGTTTTGTTCTGATTGTTTGTGGTTGGAGAGTTTTGGGGGAGGGGGGAGATCAATTCTGAGGATGGAGTAAGCACAGGTGATTTAGAGCCTTGAAGAATAGTAAGTTTATTGGAAAGTCAGTAACCCCAGTTAAATTCTTAGTTTTATTTTTTGTTTGTATGTTGTTGTTTTTAACAAAACTTATCTTCCTGTAGAGTAGGGGCAGGCATAGTGGTTTGGCTTTACACCTGGTCTTGGCACTACATTACAAAACTTCAAATTCTTAATTTCCTATTCAGTCTTAGTAAAATACTCTCAAAGTACTAAGGCAGCATTTGGATTTAGTGTACTTTTACAATCTATTGAAGTTCTGTAACAACACAACCATGTCACTTGTGGTCATAAACAAAATATACTGTCACCAAATTGTTTGGCTTTGCTTATGTTATTACATTAATTATTTGTAGAATTAATAATGAATTTTTAGAAAGAGTTTGACTTTGTTAAATAGTTTCAAAATGAGTTCAGAAGTCACCCATCACTAAGCTCAAACCATCTGGAGATCTGTAAGTCTTCTGAATTACTCAGGCTATCACCATTTTAAACATATTTTTCATTAATAATCTTCATTGTGACTCTTGTTCTATTTTTGTAATATACATACCATATTTATATACATAATGTACTTTTAAACCACACGGTTTGGCATAGATTTGATTGTTTCTACATGTAAGAGCTGTCTAAAATATTTAGATGTTGGTTCCTTAAAGAATTCTTGTGTACATTAAGTGAAGATTAACAGGAAGAGACTTACAGTAGCACTAATAGGCCCAGGTTTGTTTATAATTTATAGCTAGCAGAACAATTTAGGACTGCAAGCATGGTGAATGTTGATTTATCAGATTAGTAAGAAGGAAATATTGCCAAATCATTAAGAGGCCAGCAATCTATCCATTTGCCTGATGTAGCTTACCATGTGCATCCTGGCAAAGGAAAGATCATTACAAGGGATTTAAGGTTGTGTATTTTGCCAGATTACTGCCTGATGGGGCTCCATCAAAGGGATTTAATGGTATATATTCTATCATAAAAGCTTTCGAGAGCAGAGGGGACTGAAATCTAGTTATAACATGCATAAAATCTTGCTGAGATCATAGATTTAAATATCACATGTTTTATCAAAATTAAGTCTCTTTCTAACATTTAGAATTCCCATTTCTCTAGATAAAAGAGTAAATGAATGCTACTCAATATAGTGCTAGACTGATAAATTTCATGATATGTGGGGGACATTAATCTATTAATGGCTATGTAATTTCATAGATGAAAGATTATATGACAGGTTAAGAATTATTGAAGGCACCAAATGCACTCATTTTTCAACTGAAACAGATACAGACTGTCAGTTGTATTTAACTACTGTATAAAGATGCAATGGTAATCTCTTTTTCTACCATTTTGCCATGAAGTTGCCTTAATCTTTTCTCCAGCCAATTGTTATACAGGCTTAAGTTGTCCTTAACTGTACCCATAATAAAAGTATTTTCCCCTGAAACACATTTGCAAGAGGGGAAAGTTGCACAATGTAAAAAAATCTGACACTTCACTGATCATGTTGAGTGACCTGTAGAGTTTGGATTTAGCTGGACACATATTAGACATTTCAGGCTGATACAGGCATACCCCTCATCTTTAATTCTGACTCCTATCTCAGTTACTATTCTGATTTTTGACATTGCTGAAGCATAGGAAATAGATCTCCCTGTTCTGCAAAATGGTGGGAGGTTCTGATTTTTAATTCATGTGATTTTACTCCATGTGCAGATACAGCAACGGGAGCTTCTACTGCTTCTGCAAGACTGATGAGGGACTGCTGCCATATAAAGTGGACTTGTCCAATTGTACAACAGTGCCAAAGCCATGCTCATTTACCATATTTTTATATATTTGCACACAAATTGCCTGTGATTGACTCTGTGAACCTGTGCTCTTCTCAGGTCCCTTCTTTATCAAAGAAAAGACTCAGGATCTCCTAGTCATCAGACACTATACATCACCAGTGCTAGTGGATATGGGCTTTGTTTCCTGTTTATATACAGTATGTTGCCCTGCCAGTGTTGGTGGGGATGTGGTTTTTCTCCTTGGTAATTCCTTGATTAGAGTATTGTTTTCTGCTTGGCTGTTTGTTTGGTGCTAATCCCTGCTTATATGGAAGTAGGATACTGGAGATACTGTTCTTTTTACGTCCTTAATTTTTTTATGCCTCTTTAAAAACCTATTGTCTACTTGGCTAAACTTCCCCCAATGTCCATTTGTTATTGAATCTCTGTGCAATCACCAGGACAGGATTTTCCATATACCAAAAAAGCAGCAGGAGGAGCAGAAATTCAGAATTCAGAAAAAAAGAAAGAATGGTCACCCAAAAAACTTTTCCCACAGTCTAGCTTCTATACATATGAGAAATAGCATCGGAGATCTTGACTTCAAATCTCTTTATATCACATAAGGTTCTTAATTATTCTAGCCCATGCACCTCAAAAGTTAGGGAGAGTGATTAATGATTGCTTTTTTTCCCTGATAGCTGTTGTAATTTGGGGGGAATAGAAACAAAGCAAAGCACTTTTTTTAACTTATCATGTAATAAATCTACAAGGTAGTAAACTCCCTGGCTTTGTTACCACCTGAAGATTGGAGGTAAGAATTGTATCATGGCCAGAACAAAGAATCCTTAGATGATCAAAAGTGATAGTTTGATGTTATATATTAGATGTAATTTTCTTGACCATATTATTCAAATTTTTAACAAATTGAATTGTCTTTAAACAGATAGTGTGCAGAGAAAATTATTCAAAAATCTGTATTTTATAGTTCCAGTTTTGATTATTGACATTATCAGCCACTAGTCTATAGAGATTATCAGTCATCAGGTCATGGTTGTCCCAAAGATGCTTTTTCAGGAGGCAACTGGACTTTCTTGTTTTTTCTTTGAAGATGTTTTGCTTCTCATCCAAGAAACTTCTTCAGCTCTGCAAGACGTATAAATCCTTCCATCCCCCACTATCCTGTCACAGCTGAAGAAGCGTCCTGGATGAGAAGTGAATCATCTTAAAAAAAAACCAAAAACCTACCTTTGGGACATCAGCCACTAGAAACGTTTTGGATTTTCCACTCCCTTCCTGTATACTTGTATGACTGATTTTGTAAACTCATATTTTCAAAGGACTTAAGAATTTAGTCTACCTACTATTGAAAAGAATCCAGTATTTGTTTTTCATATTTTAACCCATATATTCTCAAAAAAGATGGTCTGATGCAATATATAACTTTAAATGGTAATAGCAATAGTGGTTAGACTTATATACCACTTCAGTGTTTTACAACCAGTGGTGGGATTCAATTTTTTTTACTACTGTTTCTGTGGGCATGGCAAGGAAAGGATACTGTAAAATCTCCAGTCAGAGATGGTATTTGCCGGTTTTCTGAACTACTCAAAATCTCCACTACCAGTTCTCCAGAACTGGTCAGAACCTGCTGAATACCATTTTTGTTTATAGCTCTCTCTTAAGCAGTTCACAGATGCAGCATATTGCCCTCAACAATTTTACTGACCTCATAAGAATGGGAGGCTGAGTCAACCTTGAACAGGCCAGGAATGAACTTCTGGCAGTTGGTAGAATTAGTGGCAGTACTGCATTCTAACCAATACACCACCACAACTCAGTAATAATAAATCCATTATTTAACACAAACAAAAATAATAACAATAAAACCTTATGTCACATTGTTAAAGCAGCCATTGATACCTGACAAAATGTATGCTTCAGGAAGTGCTAGCTTATAAAAACAAGTTTCTAAACTATATTTAAAGTGATCAGAGAGGGTAAAGGTTGTAATGGGGAGAAAATCCATTGTACTGGAGCTCCAGACCTAGTTGATTCTAATTGGAACTTCTTCTTGGGCAGCATTTTCAGCAGACACTTGGTGAATGAACAAGACAAGTAGGGCACAAAGTCACATCTTTAGCAAGTTTAATATTAATCAATCCCTGGTTTTTCTCTAAACACAGACCCTTAATATTGTTACTCCTCGAGTACGTCCAGAAGATTGCAGCATTGGACTTTTGCCAAGGAATCATGATAAGAATCGCTGCATGGATGTACTTCCTTTGGATCGGTGCCTCCCTTTTCTTATTTCTGTTGATGGAGAATCAAGCAACTATATTAATGCTGCACTCATGGATGTAAGTAAAACTATTTTTTAACGTGAAACAGAGTAAAACTGAGCACTATTGTCTTTCTACCACATTTGTATTCCCACTTTTTCCAAAGAACTGAATAAGGTATAAATACATTGCATCTCACTTTTATCCTCTTTGATCAGTTGGGCTGAGAAAGAGAAAATAACCTGTTTCAGTGTGATATTCCTTTCATCCTATAAATCAGGAGTGGAATTCTACTGGTTCTGTCTGGTTCTATAGAACCCCTTGTTAACTTTCTAAGCAGTTCGGAGAACGGGTAGTTAGAAGCAATCTCTTGTTTTTTCCACCCTTATTACATTCTTGCCAGTACACCTAGACTTCCTGTCTCCAGAGCTTCTGAGGCTTGGCTTTCTTAAAGGGGAAGGATTGTTTTAAGATTTTTATACTGTTGTTGGTAGAAAATAATTCCCTGGACAATCAGCACTTTGAAGAAATAATTGAATCATGAAGCAAATATTTTAGTGACAGGGAACCAAGATGAGTGACATTCAGCAAGGCTTCTTGGCTAGCTAGAAAGATTGACATTCAAACGTGAGTTTACATACCCTTTCTGAGTTTTGGTCTAAAACTGGTTTTTGGTGAAGATTAATTCTGTGCTTGGTGACATTTAATCCTGTGTTTATTGATGGGATAACTTTCTCTGTTCAGATTCAACAAGCAACAGCTACTGTTGTGATTTAATTATTTGTATTGTGTTTGAATTTTTTCCTGCCTCGTGGCTTCTTTTTCTATTTGGGGAGGGGGTCTTCATCATTGCTTTAGTACTATCTGGCACTTTCCTTTTGGGGTATACTTCCAAGAAGCAGGATGCAAGCTTGGCACTGATTTTCTTTATTGCCTTTCTGGGAGGCATGTGACCTTTCCTTAAATCTGGATGATTTCCTTAGGATATCATGTGAGGTAAGTGAGACCAGCTGGTATCTTTAAGTGGTGCAAATGGATCTAAGGATTGCTTTTCTTGGGTGTGCTTTTTCTGGAGAGCTTAAATGATCTCTCTGCTAAAGGGTTTCACTTTATGAGCAAGAGATGGCTGCTTGATAGTTATCACTGCATTTTAACTATTTTCATTCCTCAAGGTGCTCTGGCACCCTGCCTGATTTGTAACTCTGGCTTGCAGGTATTTTTAATCTAATGATTGGTATTTAGGGCAGCTTTTTGCAAGCAGAGCAGCTTTTTGTGTTTTTGTACAGGTAACCCTTGACTTACAACAGTTCATTTAGTGACCATTCAAAGTTACAACGGCACTGAAAAACGTGACTTATGACCATTTTTCACACTTATGACCATTACACCGTCATGAGAGGCTAGGCGAGGAGTAGCGACCCTTGACATGAGTGATGTTGAGTTGGCCATGCCCACACAGTCACATGACCACCAAGCCATATCCACCAATTAAGCCACGCCCACAGAATCGGTTGTTAAAAAAACTGAATCCCACCCCTGCTATAAATGATCACTTTTAAGTGCAGGATATGGGAAGGATATCTCCTATACATTAATTACAAAATGACACTTCATAAGGGGTGTGGAACGACCCTGATATCTCCTTGTATAGCATATATTTACTCTAGATTCGGTGTCTGTATTCATCTGTTTGGGTTAAAATTGTTATAAATCTTTGAATTTGAATTTGAAAGAAAGAAATCCAAAATGTAATCCCATATTTTTTCCTTCTTTCTCTTCGTTATTTAACATACACTCAGTTATGATTACAAGTGAGCACCTTTGCTATAAAATCTAAGGTTTGCATGTTTCACAATTTAAATAAATAAATACTTTCAGCTGCAGTATGAAATCTTGTCAGAGTGACTCACAGGCATTGTGATAGCAAATATGCATCTGTTATCTAACAGTTGAATGCACAGGGCCCTTTACTGCTTCACTAAGCAAAAGCTGTTTTTTTGTTTGTTTGTTTTTTTAAAAAAAACCTTCTCTGTCTAACTTTGAGCAGCTGCCAGCAATAAAACTGTTGGGGGTATTTTTGTTTTGGTTTATCTTTACAAATATTCCATTTGGAAACAAATTCCACGGTAAATGCTGAAGGGTTTCTCATGCTACATGCCTTCTTTCTGACCTGCCTACCTTGATTTCAGATGTGGCTTGCATTTATAACTCTGTAGCCATATATGTTGTATCATATATATTCAGGACACAAACCAATATGATGATATTATTGCTATAAAATCTCTCACTGCAAAAAAACCCCAATCAATCATAGCTATATCTCCAAATCTTATTCTGTCTCTTAAATAAACAAAAAATATTACATTATTTTAAAACATAGTATTTTTTTCATTAAAATCATTCCCAGGAAGGATAAATACCATTAGATATGAAAATTGAAGAAAAAATGCTGATTCTTTGCCTATATCTTGGAAGTTGCTTGGGGAATAAAAAGGGGAATGTTGGATGTACCTCATGGAGCTCAGCACATGCCTGCATCTTGATCAGTGGTGGGATTCAATTTTTTTTACTACTGGTTCTGTGGGCGTGGCTTGGTGGGTGTGGCAGGGGAAGAATACTGTAAAATCTCAAGTCAAAGATGTTATTTGCCAGTTCTCTGAACTAATCAAAATTTCCACTACCGGTTCTCCAGAACTGGTCAGAACCTGCTGAATACCACCTCTGATCTTGATGTCCCTCTAGTGATGACTTTTTTCTTTGCCTTACTAGTACAGTGACAGTGTACTCTAGAAAGCAGGACTTTCAGAGAGGATTTCAAGGAGGAATCTTCTCCTGATGTACATTTAAGTCTTGAGTGAAACAAGAAGCTCAGGATCTGGGTAGTATTATTTCTGATAACTCAATCCACTTTTGTTACCTTGATGTGATGAAGGAAAGTTCCTGCTTAATTTAGATTTTTTAAATATATATATATATATATATATATATACTGATTGATCTGTGTGTTTTTTTTTTCTTCATAGCAATTCTTATATGTTTTTATATATGTTTTTTTACATTTTGTCAAGCTTTGCTATTCAGATGCAGGTTAACAAAGGTTTGGATTTTCTGTTCCCCACTGTAAGATTCTCATCAAGATGACTAGCACTACCTCAGCATGGATCTCAGGACTAGTTTTAAGTACTTCTCAGAATGCTAGCTAACTGCTTTAAGGAGATGGATATCTCCTTTTTAGGCTTATCCCAAATCCTAAGCCATGTTTATTCTACAGATGTTCAGAAGGGATAGTTTATTCATTTAAATGGTAAGCTGTAGGCAAAATGCAATAATACTTTAAATGTGTAATCTCCTTTTTATGCTAGCATTTTTAAATTTTTAAATTTGAGGGATGTTAATGGCAATGCAAATAGCATGATCTGTCCTTCTTGGCCAAATGTTTTTCACTAGATTATGAAAATCAGTAGTTGACTTCTAGAAATTTACTGTTGTATAAAAGAAAAAATGTTGGCAAATATTTTTTCAATTGTAATGTTTCATAATTAGATAAAGATTTTTAATTTTACTCACTTTCTTAATAGTACTTTGGGCCTATAATTTTGGGGAATCTTACTTAACTTTTTTAATGTATGGGGACAATGAAAGTTTCCCATCCTGTTTGGACAGGCATACTATTATTCATGTGAAAGAATCCCACAAGCAGTGGCCCCACCAATTAATGTACTTTTTCTATGATTTTCTGTCTAAGAAATACATTATCAGACATTCATCTTCCTTTGGGATTAATGTGCTGCTCCTATCAATCACTAATACAATTAACTGAATTAAATATAAATATGATCTTGAGTTGACCTCAACTCTTGGTGAGTGCATCCCTTCAGTTTTCTTGGCAGTGTTATGGCAGGAGTTTACCATTGCTTTCTTCTGTTTCTTGTTTTGTTTTATTTTGCAGTCTAGCCAGCAGCTCTAAAATTCCCAGGTGTATTTCCCATCTAAGCATTAACATCTACCTAATATAAATGCTTAGAGAAAATATGTCTGAAACATAATGGATACATCCCAACTTTTAGAGGTTTAAAGGCTTTTTTTTAGGCTAAGCTCTTAAAAAGGAAAAAAAAAATACTTGTTTAGGTTGAGAATAGCAGAAGCTTGTTGTGTCAACTTAATTTATTAAATTTCAGTTTCCAGTTATTGATTTCCTTAGGAAAAGTCTTGCTTCCAGGTGGCACATTGAGTCATTTATTCTAATTGTTATGCAAAAGGGATAATTCTTGTTCTTATGCTTCTTCTCTAATGAAATAAAACCTTATTATGCAGGCTGTTTCTATTCAATGGGGTGGGTGGCAAAAACAGAGTATGAGGTATGATTTGTATAATCTATTTATGTTAATCTGTTTGCCTGTCCATAGGCTCCCCAGTGTAATATGCTTCTCAATAAACAATAACGGGTTTTTGTCACTTCTTCTTCCTTTAGAGCCACAAGCAACCTGCTGCCTTTATAGTTACTCAGCATCCATTGCCCAACACTGGAGCTGATTTCTGGAGGCTAGTGTTTGATTACAACTGTTCTTCTGTTGTGATGCTGAATGAAATGGATGCTGCCCAGGTAGGTGGATTATTATGACTATGTATTTAATATTACATGTGTTATCAGCATCCAGAATTGTATTTGCACAACATTGGAAAGGTGTGGAGTTCCCCACAGATTAGAAGATAGTAAGAAAAAATACTAGAATTTGCAGAAATGGATAGATTTACACTTGAAATTAAAGAGAAGGAAGATACGGAATATTTTGAAACATGGGGTTCATTTTATCTATGGTCAAATAAGAATTAACTTTACCATGAGGGTTTATTATTATTATCAATATGATTTAGTATTAACAATTAAATATTAATATTATGTGGAGAAAATACGGTTATTATATGATCACTACTAATGAACATTATTATGATGGTGATGACTATTGCTCAAACTAACTGTAATCAGATAACACATTGTTTATATACACATTGATATAGTTGCTCTTTCTTTATATAGTAAAAATAAAAAAATGTTGGAAAAAAAGTATATATGGATAAGCACTTTTAGTTACTATTGGACCCACATTAAATATATGTGTCAGGGTTCCAAGTAATAGATCCATTTCAAGCAAAGACTCTAAGCCAGGTAGATTCCTCAAAGAAATATCATATTGTCGCATATCTGGTGAAAACCAACTCTTAGATGAAAACTCTGAAGTTTTCACCTCATTAAAAGTGAAAGTTTTCCCCCAATCCCAAACAATCAGTCACATGGCCCAATCGAGGCAGCATATGCTGGTCTGGTGACATCACTCCTCCTTCCTACAGCCAGGTGTGAAAACATCCTTGGTTCCCAAAAGAAAGTATTTTATTTTGACTACACAGCCACAGCTATCTCTAATCCCCCCTCCCTATCCCTTAGCTCTAGTGTGGCAATGAAGTTCCAAGATGGCTTCGGCCAGGCCAACTTCAGGGTTGACAACATAAGTTAATTTAATTCCTTTAATAGATACTTTGGCAAGCTCTGATAATAATTCCCATCATTAAACAAGAGTTTAGGTTCGTGAAATATAAAGAACAATGATTTGCAAAACTGGGACTAAGGATCAAGATAATGATTTCCTCTATATTTGTCATTAATATTTTATGTTGTATTCAGAGTGTGTTCAAGGTGTCTTTTAATAGAAATGAACATTCTAAGATTTTGTGTGAAAACTGGTGTTTTGTGTTTCTCCTTTTTTCCTCCTGATTTGTGTTTGTTTTTCTTTCATTACGATCAGCTTTGTATGCAGTACTGGCCAGAAAAGACATCTTGCTGTTATGGGCCAATCCAAGTGGAATTTGTTTCTGCTGACATAGATGAGGATATTATTAATCGGATATTTCGGATCTGCAACATGGCAAGGGTAAATAGAAGTCAAATAATTTTCTATCAATATTCATTCTGCAGATATTAATTAGGATGCCTTGGGATAATGTAGGTGGGATGATCATATTGTTACTGTTCTTTGGGCGGGCAACCTGTCTCTTTTGAACATAGAACATTGGACAGATTAGAGTTATTGAAAGGGGTAAGTTATAGGAAATGAAGCCAAAATGGTTATTTTGTTTCATTTTGTTTGTTTCTTATTAGGGTTACTCTTTATCATTCTACAAGATGCTAAAGTGATGTCCCCTCTTAACTTATTATCTTGCTTGTATAGTTTTAGACTCCCATCAATTGCAGTATTGACTAATATTTCTATAATTGGGGCTTATTTCCTAATTCCTACCTTGTTTTCTTTTTACTATATCTTATCTCTCCTAGCTGTTCTCCGCTGTTTATCCTTGATTTTGAATTTTTGAAGCATGTAATCGACTAGAACTGGATGGCAGATATGAATCTAGGTTTTGCATGAGAAAGGTCAAGGAAATACCCAATCTAGGATTATGCATTCAAGAATATACCATTGTAAATTTTATCATACATTGCTATTGTCCATATCTTCCTCTAATATGGGTAGCTAGCTAATACAGGTATTCCTTGACTTATGACCACAATTGAGTCCAAAAGTAAGTAAGTAAGTAAGACATTTCTTAAGTGAGTTTTGCCCCATTTTATATTTATTGACACAGTTGTTAAGTGAATCGCTGCAGTGGTTAAATTACTAACCCAGTTGTTAAGTCAATGTGGCTTCCCTATTGACTTTGTTTGTTGGAAGGTGGAAAAAAGTGATCACATGAGATACTGGGATACTGCAATGGTAATAAATATGAACCAGTTGCCATGCATCTGAATCGCATGATCATGAGGATGCTGCATAGTTTACAACTGTGAAAAACAGTCCTAAATCATTTTTTTCAGTGCTGTTGTAACGTTGAACTGTCACTAAATGAACTGTTGTAAGTTAAGAACTACCTGTATAAATAAAAGAGAAAGGCTAACATGGTTTCAATATTTCCCATTTGGCAGTCCCTCTTTCATCACCCTATCTATATATCAAACTTAACTCTATACTCTGCTACAAAGCATTGACAATGAAACAATTGCTCTATTAACAGATATGGTATTAAATATCCCCTTTAACCTATCACTTGTAATTATAATTGTGCCTGCAAAGGAAGACAGAAGAGTCAGGCTATTTATCAGCTACAATTTTCTTTATAATGGTTTTAGAAAATAATTGCAATGTCAGTGCTAAATATGCCCTTGATATTCAATCTTTTGAAGTCATTAGCTGAATATCATTATTGTCTGTTAATTAAAAATGATTTTTTTTAAATAATGATTTTTCCATCTTTAAAAGAAAAGAACAGGTTTTTTTTTTAAATTCTAGAGCTGACAATTGTCCCCAAATTTTCTCATCACATTCAAGAGAGGTTCTGCTAGTTACTAGTAACTGAGTCTATGGTATATTTCCAGATGATGCTTACAAAAAGCTTTCACGGCATCCTTGGTTTCCACTGTGATGCAGGAAAAGTGTTTCTTTAATTTTTCTGTTATAAATGAAGAATGTTCTAATATGACTCAAGCTCTGTAAAGGACCTTGGAATACTCACCTCTAATGATCTAAGTGCTAGAGCCCACTGCAACTACATAGCCAAAAAGGCATTAAGAGTTGTTAACCTAATCCTACGTAGCTTTTTCTCTGGTAATATCACACTACTAACCAGAGCATACAAAACATTTGCTAGACCAATACTTGAATAGAGTTCATCAGTCTGGAACCCACACTACGTATCTGATATTAGCACAATTGAGAAAGTCCAGAAATATTTCACAAGAAGAGTTCTCCACTCCTCTACTCGTTGTAGAATACCTTATGCCACCAGACTTGAAATTCTAGAACTTGAAAACCTTGAATTACGCCGTCTTCGGTCTGATTTAAGCATGGTATATAAAATCATACATTGCAATGTCCTACCTGTCAATGAATACTTCAGCTTCAACCATAACAACACAAGAGCACACAATAGATACAAACTCAAAGTAAACCGCACCAAACTTGATTGCAGGAAATACGACTTCAGCAATAGAGTGGTCAATGTCTGGAATACTCTACCCGACTCTGTAGTTTCTTCCCCAAACCCCAAAAACTTTAACCTTAGACTGTCTACTATTGACCTCACCCCTTTCCTAAGAGGTCTGTAGGGGGCGTGCGTAAACGCACCAACGTGCCTACCGTCCCTGTCCTATTGTTTCTCTTATTCTTTTATTTTTCTTATATGTACCCATTTCATGTATTCACAACTATGTATACATTTATACTTATTATCTTGTAAACAATTGGCAAATCAAATAAATAAATAAATAAATAAATGTATGATTTTTAATAGTTTCGCTGAGATAAACACTTCTGAAAATATTCCCCAATTCCAAAATGAATGAGAAATCTTCTTTCAAATCTCTTAGAATACAACACATGCTGTTCTGGGGGTATATAGAAACATCCATACCTTCCTTTTCAAGATTCAACCAATTCTAAATTTTTTTCTTTAGCCACAAGATGGGTACCGTATTGTTCAACATTTGCAGTATATTGGCTGGCCAGCATATAGAGACACTCCTCCTTCTAAACGCTCTCTCCTGAAAGTGGTCAGGCGATTGGAAAAATGGCAGGAGCAATATGATGGGCGAGATGGGCGGACTGTGGTTCATTGCCTGTAAGCATTTCTGTATCTTGTTTTCTGTATTAAGTTCAGATTGCCTGTCTGAAAAGAAGAAGAAGCATTGCAAACTTGATCACTTTGATGGATTACCCTGTACTGTTTGATACACATACTTAAAGAAAACCTGAATATCCAAATGTCTGCTTAATGCATTATAGTATTATAGAGCTAAAAATCAATATGTTGTTTGTTTGTTTGTTATCATTAAGCCTGGTTCTCAATGACTCTGGTTCAATGGTCATTCTAAGCTATTCCCCTTCTCTGTTCATAAGTCCAAGAATTTTTATGTTGCAGAGTTTCCCTCATTACTCTAGATCACTGAGAAATGTTGGCTGGTGGCTAAATCAGCATATATAGTATGAATACTGATTGGAATTTACAGCTACCCAAGGATATCAAATATTGATGATAACCTGTTGTTATTAATTATATGGTCCAGAAGTATCACACATTGATACTTAATATGAAATGCAATAAAATATGATTATATAATAGAACATATATTATGTGACCCAACAAGACAAACTAGAATGGACCTATGTTTGCTGTTTCTGTTCTGAATCTAATGTTATTGAACTATTTTTATGAAAAGCATTAATGCAAGTAAATTGTATATATGGCTGTTACATGTAATTGATGGACTTGCATTTGGATAGATCTCTTAGATCCCCTTGAAGTACTCTTCTGTTATGAACATATGTAATTTCCTAAACCAGCTCTTATTGTTTATTCTAGGAATGGTGGTGGCCGCAGTGGCACCTTCTGTGCCATATGTAGTGTATGTGAAATGATCCAGCAGCAAAATATCATTGATGTATTTCACATAGTGAAAACCTTGCGGAACAACAAGTCCAACATGGTGGAGACATTGGTAAGCATAATAGGTTGATTGCTTCTTGTTCTTTGAAATAAAATATTCACAGACTCTTTTTGTTTCTAAGCATCCATTTTGGATTTTATGTATTCAGATAATAGCAGAAGCTGCATTATGTACTGAAAAAACTCCTAAGGAACACTTATTTTAAAGTACAGTTCAATTGCTTTTGTTTTGAAAGGCGTGCAAACAGCATCTATGCATAGCTAATAAAGCCTATTAAAATAAAATCCATTTAATTCAGTATACAGAAACAAGGCGGGGTTTCGCATACTTTGACAATAATTCAGAAGATGATTTTTTTTTAACCTTGTACAAACAGAGCACTTCTCTGTTATTCTATAAAGCTTTCCAAGCTTCTAGGTGAGCCTGAATGAAAGGTGGCGCTGTTTTAAGAATTGTTTTGAAAGATTTCCAGTCTACTTACTCAAAGTCTATGAAACTCTGTTCAGAATTGTTTTAAACTGGGTGAAAAATAGAAACCTTCAGTGTTCTCCTATATAGAGAAAATGATGTGAGATAAGTTGTATCTACGGGCAAGTACAGACAAAGCAGACACACTTCCCCCAGATACATAGAACTTTGAGGGTGGTGTTTATGTGTTTGCTTGTTGAGATTTTAAATAATATATTATACATTCTAAGATTATGTCCAGTCCAGTGGTAATGTATGTGCTGTGTTTATTTACTTAATAATCCTAATACAGTACTGCTTACCTGTCCATTTAAGGGTGAAAAAGAAACAAAACTAAAAACATGGGGGGAGGGGACTTCAGCCAATATTAACCATACTGAAAGAATAAAATATAAATTATTTAAATAATATAGAATAACCTTAAAATAATTTAAAATCCTCTTATTTGAGAGCAATGTAAGAAAAAGTCCTTTCCTATATGCTAGAATAACACATTTCTGGGTAGATTTATAAAAAGTTATAGGACTTTACATAAAGAGACCATAAGTAAGTCAGAGTTTAAATTGTAAATATTTCCTTAGAACTAACTTAGTAGCAAATGTAAGAATTTTCATATTACTCTCATATGATCTAATATAACCACTTTTGTTTTAGAACAATGGAAGCTTTCAGATATTTTCCTGAAATGTGATGTAATTAAGACATGGATTAGTTATGGAAAGGTCACTAGTGGCACAGTGGGAAGATATTATCATCATGTAACAATCCAGGGACAACGTAAGGTCAGGGAAAATGTTTGGGTTCTTTCTGGGGGAATACAACAACTTGCAAACAAAGTTGAATCCAACTGTCAACCCAGCATCTTCAGTTTAATCTCAGCCTCATCCAGCCTTAGTCAGAAAACTTGAATATTTTGCCTACTTGCTTTATATGAGATAATGAGAGATCTGAGAATGACAGAATGAGAGCTTCAATATATTGGTGAAGCCTGGCTTATAATGTTTAGATCAACAGGGTCTTAACAGGTGTCAGATTACAGGTATCTTAACTACTTTAAATAAAATTGAACAATTGTGTCTCTTCTGGATGGCTGTTCAGAGGATGTATTAATAGAAACATTATGTTAGCAATGAATAAAGTGGACATATATTTTGGACACTGTTTATCCCAGCTCTTGAAAGAAAACCTGTTTGTTGCCTGTGGATTTCCCTCCCACCCCCACTCAAATTACTTAATCGTAGTTGGGCTATATCCATTAATTTCAGTAGGAATAAGGTAATTAGCAAATAATATACAGCAGAATGTTTCTTACATATATACACATATTGCAACTTAATTATTGCTCATGTGACAGTACGCTGTAGAAGATCTCAAGCCCCAACTTAGTCCAAATGGAATATCCATGTAAGACACTGGATCACATGTTGATAATACTAAAAATTTGAACTGGAGTCTGATTGTTTTGTAACCACAATTTAAGATACTAAATTGGGTTAATCTTTAAAGCTTTAAATAACTTATAACTTGAAAAGTGTGGTTCTCAATTGTTCACTGGCACTCCAGTGGCACAATGGAATTCCATGAAAAAAATTACTGAAACACTAAAGTACTTCGCAATGCTATGAGCAAAGAAAGTTTGGGAATCTCTGACTTAAGAGAATTTTTGAGAAACTACGGTGTGCTATATTAGCATACTCCAAAACCTGACACCTGATTGGTCCACACGGACCACGACCGGATTGGCTAACTGAGCGGCCGTGATTGGCGCGCTAAGAATCTACCGCGATTGGCCGAGCCGATCGCGGGAGATTCAAAGCGCTGTCATTGGCCACCGAGCCGCAGGCAAACCCTTTAAAAAGGATTGCCGCGGTTCCTATTCTTTGCACTGTAACATACCTAAATAAAGAGCTGAACGTTACCAAATGGTCTCGCGTCTCTTTGGGAACCGATCCACCCCGATCTAACATACCTCTTCAGATATTAAGTTGTCCAGGCATGTTGAAGCTTTCCATATAGTAGAAGCTGCAGGAGAAGTACTTTTGAAGAGTTCTACTTTTACATAAAGTTATTCATTAGATATATGAATCTTCTAGATCAGTCTAAATTTATTAAAAATTCTTCCTTGGGAATTATATTTAGTTTTCTAACTTTTCATCTTTAGAAGAGTAGGGAAAATGCAGGTTCTGCCCATATGTATTTGTCTTTTTTTAAAAAAAAATATCTTTTTTGCATTTGATTTTTTTAAAACAATGCATTTATTTGATGTGAATGGTAAAACACATTTCAAGCTGATTGTGCTATAATCTAATTGCTATTTGTAATATTGCCCATATTCTTCTACCTTAGCAATTTGAGGAAATGAAACAAGAATATTCTAAGGGTCACATGGAACACTGAATGAAAATTTGGAACTCTGTATCTGTGTATGGGATTTTGAGAAATTTTGGGAGTCTAAATGTGATATTAAAGTAGAGTGGATTGAAAGAATGAGTCACCTGAATATTAACTTGATTTATCTTCTATCTCTTTCAGGAACAATATAAATTTGTATATGAGGTTGCATTGGAATACTTAAGTTCATTTTAGCTCATCAAGGCAGGGAGCTAAAAACACCTAAAGCTTTGGTGTTTGAAGGACATTGGTTACCCACTTTACTTCAGAGGAGTAATGGGCTAAAGCATATATAGCTCTTCATCCTTGAATGAGAAACCAGGTCAGCGCTGAGTGCCGGAGGAGAGATCTGTTGCCATCTGTTTTTAGAACATTCTTGCCTTTTAAGCAACCCACTATGGCAAAGCAAGAGGCAAGGTGGAATATTCTGCTTTCTAATCCCTTCTGACTGCTTCTCCCTATCATTTTGGATGTGTCTTTTTTCCCTTCCTTGATGCAAACAGGAGTGTGTGTGTGTGTGTGTGTGTGTGTGTGTGTGTGTGTGTGTGTGTG